TTCATTTACTCCTCTTGCAATTTCATTCCCATTTATTTGCACTACCTAACTGAATCACTTTAATTCACTTTTGTATTCATTCATTCCACAACACAAAGTCTTGACCTTATTCCTTGTTGCTCTACCATACAAATAGTTAAGCTTCCTGGGGTGTCCCTGCCAGGCTTCCCAGCTTTCAGTTCCATATAACAAAGTAGACAAAAGCACACTCTTATTACAGTCATTTTTCTCTTACTTCATGATTTATAGGCGAGCACAAACTTTTATCCTACTGTCTACCAGCATTTGAATATGTTCAAATTTTAAAATGTTCTCCTATTTTAGTACACATTTTTTCACATTTATGGCCAGCTCTACCTCTGATAAGGAGACCAACAATGAGCATTCCAGAAAACCTGGAAGAACTGCTGCCTGAGTTGCTGAAGGAAGACAAAGTTGTGCTGTCCAGACATTTGTGCGTGTGATGCTGGTGCTGCTATTGCTATCTGAAGATGAGGAGTTTGAGCAAGGGTGCACCACTCGGACAGTAGAGCAGAGCAGAGCAAGAACATTCTGCAAGACTCCTTGCAAAAAAGGAACCTCATTCCTTCAAATAAGCAACACTGGGACCGTTTTTATTTAAGAAGAGCATAGAGTTCAAGCCTCTCCATTGGCAACAACCGATTGCTTACCATTCCCCGTGTGCCTTTCCTTCTGATCTGAACCTTGTGACTTTGACTCTGGCCTCATGTAACCCCCCCCTCCCCACCCCAGCAAAACCAGACTGGAAAAATTGTGAGCTTATTCCACTTTATTGTAAGGCTGCGTTAAGAGAATCTTGCAAGTCAAAAAGTACGAATTTCCCACTGTCTCATTTTAACCACCTGATAAGTTAGAGTGAACCTCTTCTAAATTGTTACTTAGCTATGGGCTTCCCCTAGCATTTATCTGATCCTTAACTAGGTAACAATTTTTTCTCTCATTTTCCAAGATCATTCCAATGTACCATTACATCACTCTCACTCCCCTTCTCCCAAATTCCCAAGGGAAACAGGTTGAGGGCTATGAGAGGGAAATTTTATTATTTTTATTTGTTTCCATTGTAGGAAATGCAGCCGGACTTTGGTGGTGCTTTTATTGTTAGCCGCCCAGAGTCCTGCGGGAGTGGGGCGGCTTATAAATTTTAAAAATAAATAAAAATAAATGTATATGTGTATGTGTATATATGTGTGTGTGTATATGTATGTATTTTTTTTAATGAAAGTTTTTTATTTTTTCCATATAAACATTATTAAAAAAAATATACAATACAATTTTAAGATAAAATAAACATTATTACGACCTGCGCACTCCCCCCAGGCCGCGTCCACCCTCTCTTAAAACATTCCCTACTTCCCTCCTCTTTCTCACCTTCCATCCTACTCTCTTCCCCTTCCCTTCTCCTCTCACTACCCTACTTCCTCTCTACACTTGCCCACCTCTCATCCCTATCAAACCCATGAACGCAGCATAAGGGGAGTGCCCAGGCCGCACCCCTATAAGCAACCATTATCTATATTACACTTACCCCCCCCCACATTTCCTCCCTCCCACCCCCAACCCCCCTCCCTTCACTTCCCAGAGCAGAATACAGGGTTAATAATTAAAAGAATTTATAATAATAAGAAAAAAGAAAAGAAAAAGAAAAAAGAAAAAAAAGAAAAAAAGAAATAATAATAATAATAAATATATATATATCATACTTAACCTTTAACTCCAATAGCCTATAAGACAATTCTCTGTAATATTTACTATAATATTCATTCATAAAGTAAATGAAACTTTTTAGTTCCATACTTTTTCTGAATATATTCTATCCATGTTCTCCATACAGTAATATATCTTTCTTGTGTATGATCCTTTAAATAGGCAGAAATTTTTGCCATCTCTTCAAAACTAGATACTTTAAATACCCATTCTTCTAAAGTAGGCAAAGAATCTTTCTTCCAATATAAACCTATTAATAACCTTGCGGCAGTTAATAAAGTCAACATCAAAATAGTTTCTTTATCATTTAAATCCACAAAGATACCCAATAAAAATATTTGAGGAGTAAACTTTATCTTCCTTCTAAAAATCTTTTGAATGTTCCACCAAATCATAATCCAAAATGCCTTTACTTTTTTACAATTCCACCAAATAGGAAAATATGTCGCATCTTTATTGCCACATGTCCAACATTTGGGCTGTATGTTAGGATACATACAAGATAATTTTTTAGGATCTAAGTGCCATCTGTAAAACATTTTATAAAAATTTTCTCTCAAATTTTGAGCTTGTGTAAATTTAACATTTCTAGTCCAAATTGTCTCCCATAAATCCAGTGAAATCAGTTCCTGTATATTTTGAGCCCATTTAATCATACAGTCTTTAACCAATTCTGTTTCCGAGTCTAACTTTAATAAAACATTGTAAATTCTTTTTATATGGGCCTGACTCTGATTTTTATTCTGAATAACCAATTGTTTATCTTCTAATGTTATTCCCTCTTTTTATCTACAGTCCATCTATCCACTATTTGTAAGTATTGAAACCATGATTGTAGAGTATTTTCTTGCCTTAATACATCTAGGGCAGTGGTTCTCAACCTGTGGGTCGGGACCCCATTTGGGGTCGAATGACCATTTCACGGGGGTCACCAAACCATGCTGTCCGCCATTTTTTTTCTTTTTCCGTAGCTGTCCTACTCCCTCTTATTGGTGGCCACACCCACTTGGGGGTCACCACAACATGGGGAACTGTATTATGGGGTCACGGCATTAGAAAGGTTGAGAATCACTGATCTAGGGATTTCAAATGCCAATTCGAACCAGACCAAATTAACAATTCTTTATACGAGATTTTATCGAAATTTGTCCCCTTAGAAATTCCCTCAATTGCATGTCTGGGAATCCCCCAGATAGGTATTTTATAATTCAATCTAAAATAATACTTTTTCCAAACACGAAGTAAGGCATTCCTCAAAATATGTACGTATGTATGTATGTATATGTACGTATGTATTCCAGTTCCCAAATACATTGCTCTGCATTTGTTGCTCCTTGTTGGTGTACAAAAATAGTACATGAACATTATTTAATGTACAAAAAATAGCTAAAACGATAAAATTATTATTATTCATAGGAAAGAAACTGCAAGAAAACTTCTACTTGGATTTAGTTCTGCCTTTTTAAACTGTGTCAGACTATCCTGTTCCCCAATATTTGAATAATGCACACATCCCAAAATGGTTCCCCCAGAACTACGGACTGACTGGGAATACTGCAGAAAGTTTTTATTCTGTATGTTTTGGATGATCCATTCCAGAACAGAGCTTCCTATAGTGCAGTGGTGGTGAACCTATGGCACGGGTGCCAGAGGCAGCACTCAGACCGGTCCTAGGCCTTCAGCTGGGTTTTATAAAACCTTTTCAGTTTAGGCCTCCACCACCGTGTGCAAAAAAAAAAAAAAAGGTTCAATCAGTCAATTTCAGCATCTTGCGGGAAAAAAAAAGATCTTGCAAAGTTGGAATTGATTGATTGAACTTTTTAGTCCCACCCAGTCTGCCATTACCACCACAGCCACGCCCACCCAATGGGCCATGCCCATCCTACTGGCCACACCCAGCCATTGGGCCACACCCACCCGGCACTCGACGATGCATAAGTGGGTTTTGGGTTGCAGTTTGGATACTCAGTCTCTAAAAGTTTCGCCATCACTGCTATAGTGTATGCCATATTGTGGTGGCTCCTCCAACATTAAGTCTGTTGTTAATGTGACACATTTCTTGGAAGGGAAGGGTCAGTTTCCCTCCCTCAACAGAGGGGGAGGGATACAACATCATCTATCTCCAGTCTACACAGTTCCAAGAAGGCTCCACACCCATTTGCACCATTCTGGTGACCCTGAGGGCCCAGGTAAACCTCCAAATGGCCTCAACGACTCTCTAAAACAGGAGTGTCAAACTGCCACGGGCCAGACATGTCACCAGGTAACTGTGCCCACCCCATTGCCAGCAATGGAGAAAAAACTCTGATATGTTGGGTGATCTCACGTAACGTCGCAGGTTTGACATGTCTGCTCTAAAGGAATGCAAATGACCAGCTGTCTGCAAGGAGTAGAATCCTTTCCATTTCCCCACAATCTAGTCAGAGCTGAAAACGCTTTTTGGATGAGAAGTGAAATGTCTTTAAAAAAAACAAGAAAGTCCAGTTGCCTCCTGAAAAAGCATTTTTAGGTTGCAAGTAGATTGAACGTAGGTGTGGGGGGGGGGGAAAGAAAGGTCTACCCATCTCCAGAAGAGATGGTGCTGTAGGCAAGAATCCAATTTTGAGTCGAGCCATTTTATAGATTGTTCAATAGGGAAGTAGTCCTGGGAATTCATGTAGTTGGAACAACGAGGTCATAACTAGGGACCCAGAGTACAGTTCCACCCGTCATCCATAACAGTGCTTTATGGAGCATAGCAAATAAGTCAGGAATGTACCCTAATTAAGTTGAATTCATGAAGAAAGGGATAAGGACAGAGCTAGAAAGACTGCAGCACCTCCCCTCCACTCTCTGTATCTTTCTATTCGACAAACCAACATTCTTTTTACCAACTCCATATTCCGAGGATCTCACCTCTTTCTTTCTAGAGTCTCATCTAATCTACCCAGAATTCTTAATTCTTTGCCTTCCTCATTATTAAGAATTCACTTATTCATGTTTAGTAATGTGTTTCCCATAAATATACTACACTAGACTGAATCACTTTCATTCACTTTGTATTCATTAGGACACATATATTCTAAACCAGAGGCCCCCAACCTTTTGGGCACCAGGGACCAGTTCCGTGGAGAAGGGTTTTTCTGCGAACCCAGGGGGTGCATGGTTTTGTGTGCTGCCTGTATCCCATGGATACACATCAATCATTCTCACTATCCTTCAACCATAGGGTGGAGTTGAAGTCCACATGCCTTAAAATTGTCAAGGTTGAGAAACACTGCTTTAGAGAAAGACTGTTGTGGTTCAAAGCATTTGTATGTTTATTTAAGAGAATGCTTAGAATTCAATGCATGCAAAGTGTTTCAGTGGGAGAGTCCATGGAAGTTTCGGTTCCTTCCTCAGCTGCTGAATCCAGCCCCTCTCAAAGGATTCTATTAATCCAATCAAGCATTGTAGTCAGTGTTACCCTGGAAAGGAGACAATGAAAATCAAATTGTCAGCAGTAGATTTTTCAATAGTGTGCGTAATCGCTATGTGATTCCCATTGTCCATTCGAATGTGGAAATGCTCACATAACCATCTGCAGAGAAAACCATAAAAACAAAAGGCTACTTTTAGGGCACTTATTTATGAAATTTCTTTTGGTGTTTTTAACTTTCTAAATGATTACTGATTGATCCCAATGATGAGCTCCAGTTTCCCCTAATACTAGTTCAGGACCTAGATTGCAAAACTTCCTTACCAGGAGTAGGTTTGCATTCTCTTAGGCATTCCGTCTCAGTTGAGAAGTTGTTTTCATTCCCTAGACATCCACTATAAAGAAACACCATACACTTCCCATCAACCGCGTTGAAAACATAGCGAACAGAAGGAGACCAGCACCATCCTATTACTGGATCAAGCAGACATTTCGGAGGAAGAATAACTGAAAGTGAAAAGAAGAAAATAAGACAGACTGTCCTTTTTAAGGAAAGTCAAAAGATCATCACATGAAAATATATCCAGAGTGCAGGGCAACATGAATATTTGAGCATCTACTGGAAAAGTAGATCCTGAGCAATCCAAACGTCAGAAAAAGTGAAAACAATTTGCCTACCCTAACATGACGAGAACACTCAAATTTGAGTCATTGCCACTTGCCATTAGTGCAGCTAAGAAGAGGCACGAGATCCCCATTCCTAAGATCCCAGACTTCTGAGATGGATGGAGGAGCTCATGGAAGAGGTTTCCTCCCAATTGCTTGAAGGTTAGGGTTTATATTCCAGCAGGCAGAAGGAGAAACCCCTTCTAGAGCTGGGCATTCAACACTTGGAGGAAGGGCACCTGGAAGTGGAAGTTCCCAAGACTTCACATGGACCTTCTCTTCACCCAGATTTAAGTATTTGCAGAGTCTACTTATGATGGATCCCCAAAATTGAATTTTTATTGTCTTTCTATAAAGGTTGGAATCAAGTAGGTCTCTATAATTTAGCTCAATAATAAGACTTATGAACCGCTTATAAACAAAAAGGGGGACAGCGGTGGCAGAGGAAATAGGATGAGTTAGGAAAGTAGCCAGTACACTCAAAATATGCCAGGTCTATTACAGAGAGTGAGTCAAGCAAAGTCTCACAAGTGAACAACAACTGACTGTTCCTGTGAGGAATCTATAATTTTCTTTGATCATTCAGTATTTTGCTTCATTCCAAGATGATTCCCTTTTATTGATTGAGTGCAGACACAAAACTGCAAAAAAAATAGTAAAAAGAAGAAGGCTACCTTTATAGCACTTCTTTAGGAAATTTCTTTTTGCATTTTTACCATTTTAAAAGATCTGATTTTGCTGATTCCGCCCACTTTTAAGCTCCTCTCCCTAGTTCAGGGCCTGGATTGAAGAACTGAGATCAAGGTAACTTTGGGACTCGAGCTTTCAGATCAATGATTGCCGGACAAGACTAAAATGCCATTGTTGCAAAGGCAAAGATTAAAATGTCTTCCTTACTTGAATTTTGACATGCAGCTCTGCACTGATACCAATTTAGAAAGTTGTTTTCATTTCCTCCACATCCACTATAAACGAATTCCTCACAGTTCTTAATTGCTGTGTTATAATAAAAACGAGGAAAGGTACCACTGCACCGTCCTGCTTCTGGATCCTGCAAACATATCTCTTGAGGGTCAGCTGAAAGTGAAAAGAAGAAAATTAAGACAGACTGTCCCTGAAGATCATTGCATGAATATATATTGGGTTCTGACTCCAGAGTGCAGGGCAATGTGAATACTTGAGCATTTACTGGAAAAGTAGATCTGCTCCAACTTCAGAAAAAGTGAAAACAAGTTGCCAGCCCTAACATAGATCGAAAACTCCAATTTGAGTCATTGCCAGTTGTTATTAGAAGTCCTCAAAGAACTGAATTGCAGACACAAGCTGCTTTACCCCTAAGAAGAGGCATCAAACCCCCATTCCTGAGATCCCAGATTCCTGGGATGGACTGAGAAAGTCATCAGGGAGAACATTTATCCCGTTTGCTTGAAAGTTGGGGCTTGAATTCCCGCAGAAAGACGAAGAAAATGCTTCTGGAACTGGGAATTCAACACTGGGAGGAGGGGCACATGAAGGTGGAGGGGAAGGTGGGCCATTCTCTTTCCTCCTCTTCCAAAGAGTTTGCAAGTACCTTCTCTTCAACCAGGTCTAAGTATTTGTGGTGTCTGCTTAAGGTTGGAAAATTCATATATTGTTTATTTTCCAGTTCCCAAATACATTGCTCTGAATCTGTTGCTTCTTGTTGATCTACGAAAAACAGTAACTGTAGATTTTAGGAAAAAATATTTGCTATAGCTTTGCTATTAATGTTTTTTTATATATGTTTGTGTGCCAAAAAAAGATTTCAATTTCTTTCTTACCAAATCTTTTGCATTCTCTTATGCATTCTTCCAAAGTTAAGAAGTTATTGTCATTCCCTGCACATCCACTATAAGTGAACATCATACATGCCGCTTCTGGTGGGTAGAAAAAATAGCGAAGAGTAGGAGAGAAACAAATTCCTATTGTAGGTTCATATGTACATTTTGCGGGATATATACCTGAAAGTGAAAAGAAGAAAATAAGACAGTCTCTTTAAAGGAAACCCACAAGTTCATCGCATGAAAATAAACTGTTCTGACTCCAGTGTCCAGGGCAATGTGAATATTTGAGCATCGAACTGGAAAAGAAGATCCTGAGTAATCTGCTCCAAATCTCATAAAAAGTGAAAATACGTTGCCCTAACATAATGCGAACATTCAGATTTGAGTCATTGCCAATTGCCATTGGAAGCCCTACAAGGACTGAAGTGCAGCCTGGCAGACTTAAGCTGATCTACCCCTAAGAAGATGCCTAGCGCTTCCATTCCAGACTTCTGGGATGGACTGAGAAAGTCATTAGGAAGAGCTTTCGTCCCATTTGCTTGACGGTTAGGGCTTCAGTTCCAGCAAACTGAAGTAGAAACCTTTCTGGAACTGGGCATTCAACACTGGGAGAAGGGGCACCTGAAAGTGGAGGAGTGATGGGGCCAGCCTCTTTCCTCCTCTTCCAAAGACTTCACATATACCTTCTCTTCAATCTGGTTTAAGTATTTATGGCGTCTGCTTAGAGTTGGAAAAATCACATGTTTATATTCCAGTTCCCAAATACATTGCTCTACATCTGTTGCTCCTTGTTGATGTACAACAAACAGTAGCTGTAGGTTTTAGGAAGAATATATTATTCATAGGATAATATGTAAAGGAATATATCGAAAAGGAAATGAAACAAAATTCCACTCAGATTTTGTTTAACCTTTTTATACTGTGTCAAGATCTCCACTTCCCCCAAATTTGAAAAATGCTCACATCCCAAAATGATTACCCAGAACTAAGGACCGACACAGAATGCTGAAGAAAAGAGACTTTTATTCTGTTTGTTTCCGATGATCCACTCCAGAAACTGGCTTCCTAAACTAAATCCCATGGGTTAAAGGTCCCTCCAACATCAAGTCGGTTCTTCATGTGATTATATCTTGGAAGACAAAGGGGCAGTGGCACGCGGAATGCACATAGGTTTGGAAGGAAAAGAAAGTTCTTGCTACCTACCTACAGAAGAGGCATCCCGAAAGCAGAAAATGAGCAGTCCAAAAGTGAGGAGCATGAAGTTTGAACGAATCATGGTGATGAAAACAAGTATCCAATGCTGAGTTGAGTCATTTTATAGATTATCCAACATGAAGTACATCTGAGCATTCATGTGGTTAGAACACCAAGGTCCAGTTCCCCAATGTCTGATTAATGTTCACATCCAAAAATGGTTACTCCAAGGACCGACTGGGAACACTACTGAACAATGAGTGTTATTAGGAGTCAATAAACCTCTTCAGAATGAGGGACTGACTTCTTAAACGTTTATTGACTTCTAAAGTCAATCCCTCGTTCATGTGGTTGGAACAAAGAGGTCATACTTAGTGATCCTGAGTACAGTTCCACCCGTCATCCATAAACAGGTCTACACAGAGCATGGCAAATGAGTAAGCAATTGTACCTTAATTAAAGTGAAGGCATGAGGGAAGAGATAAAAAGGAAAGAGGTATAATTACTTAGCACCATTTCCCCTCCCTTATTATCTTTCTCTCCTTGCAAACCACCTTTATTTTTACAAGCTCCATACTCTGCTATATATTTACACAATGAAAGTTCTCATCTTTTTGGTTCCATAGTCTTGTCTAATCCAACCATGACTCTAACTCTGTGTCGCCTCATGAACAATTTGCTTTTTCTTCATTTACTCCTTTTGCAATTTCATTCCCATTTATTTGCACTACCTAACTGAATCACTTTAATTCACTTTTGTATTCATTCATTCCACAACACAAAGTCTTGACCTTATTCCTTGTTGCTCTACCATACAAATAGTTAAGCTTCCTGGGGTGTCCCTGCCAGGCTTCCCAGCTTTCAGTTCCATATAACAAAGTAGACAAAAGCACACTCTTATTACAGTCATTTTTCTCTTACTTCATGATTTATAGGCGAGCACAAACTTTTATCCAACTGTCTACCAGCATTTGAATATGTTCAAATTTTAAAGTGTTCTCCCATTTTAGTACACATTTTTTCACATTTATGGCCAGCTCTACCTCTGATAAGGAGACCAACAATGAGCATTCCAGAAAACCTGGAAGAACTGCTGCCTGAGTTGCTGAAGGAAGACAAAGTTGTGCTGTCCAGACATTTGTGCGTGTGATGCTGGTGCTGCTATTGCTATCTGAAGATGAGGAGTTTGAGGAAGGGTGCACCACTCGGACAGTAGAGCAGAGCAGAGCAAGAACGTTCTGCAAGACTCCTTGCAAAAAAGGAACCTCATTCCTTCAAATAAGCAACACTGGGACCGTTTTTATTTAAGAAGAGCATAGAGTTCAAGCCTCTCCATTGGCAACAACCAATTACTTACCATTCATTGTGACTTTGACTCTGGCCTCATGTAAGCCCCCCCTCCCCACCCCAGCAAAACCAGACCGGAAAAATGGTGAGCTTATTCCACTTTATTGTAAGGCTGCGATAAGAGAATCTTGCAAGTCTAAAAGTACGAATTTCCCACTGTCTCATTTTAGCCACCTTATAAGTTAGAGTGAACCTCTTCTAAATTTCTTTTTCTTAGTTATGGGCTTCCCCTAGCATTTATCTGATCCTTAGCTAGGTAGCAATTTTTTCTCTCATTTTCTTAGATCATTCTGACACACCATTACATCACTCCCCTTCTCCCAAATTCCCAAGGGAAACAAGTTGAGAGCTATGAGAGGGAATTTTTTTTTTTAATTTATTTGTTTAATTTCTATAGCAGTCCATCTCAACTGATTAACTCTAGGCTGCAAACTCTTCGAAAATGTAATTTTCAAGATCACTAGTAGCGGCCCTATATTATCTCCTCCCATTTATGTGACAGCTGCCCTCCCTTGAGAATCTGTGGTTTATACTCACATCTTGGTGCCTGATGTGGAAGGAGCAGATGTGTTTCCCCTTACTCGGGCTCTTGCTCTTCCCGAGGCTTCCTCCACCTCATAGATGAACTCTTCCTGATCATCTTGATTATCACCTAACTCCTGCAAGGCCAGTAGTAGCCAAGGAAAGGTGTGTTCATTCAAATATTGATCGTGAAAACCTTATACCAATTATGGAGCATGCACATCTATTCCTGACTCCCAAAGCATTACATGTCCCAAATTCATTGAGAAGATCTGCAAGGCTGTTCTTACAGATTCATTCCCTTTCTTTTTGTCTTTTATGTATTTGTCCTACCTTTTTCCATTTCTGCACATAATGTCATTCCTTTGAAAATTTCAGTTTTTAAATTCTTATGTGTTTGGTTTTTGAAATTTAAGAAACATCTTTATTTCGGTTAGAAATAAAAAAAAATGGGAGTGCAGTGGATCTGCAAGTTGAACATTACCTGCTCCCCCAATTATAATGATGTCAGGTGAGAAAGAAGGAAGGAGAGAAGGAAGGAAGGAAGGAAGGAAGGAAGGAAGGAAGGAAGGAAGGAAGGAAGGAAGGAAGGAAGGAAGGAAGGAAGAGGTTTGTCCATATATTTGGTTTAGCATTTGTCTTTCATAAATATCAGCTTCCCAAAATTTGAGTTATACCCTGATCTCCAATGTGTCCCTCCTCATTTAACTAAATGCCTTCCATGAAAATGGAGCAATCCTCCAACCAATGTTCATACTGTCCTTTATGCTAATCCCAAAAGTAAGATGTGATTGGGAATAATGCATCTCTGGTCATCCATTCCAGTCAATCTAACATATGGGAAGGGGACTTTCCACCATCTAGTCTATTTAATATCATCATTCATTAGTGTGGAGGGAGATCATATTGTGGATATACACAACTCTGTGTTTGGTTGGAAAAGATACCTAAATTTTGGTTAGGGGCAACCTAAAACAAAGTGAGCAAGTCTGAATGAACATGCAGTTGAACACAAGGGTCTGGTGCTTGCTCAGTCAAGCCACTTTTTATACGCACTATTGCAGAAGTCCCCAACCACAGAGAACCAGGCTGCGCAAGCAATGGGCAAGGAGACGAAACTCCACTCCCGCTGCTTGTACAAAACCATCCCTTCTCCCCCGCAACCGTAGTTTCCGCTAACCCTACTGGTCCACAGAGCCGGAAAGATTGGGGATCGCTGCATTGTAGGAAATGCAACTGGACATTCATATGGTTTGAACAATGAGCAGCTATGTAGGGACCATAAGTACATTTCTGGTGTAACTACGTATCCTCATCCTGGTTGAACAGTGCTGAAGAAAACATAGCTTAGTGTAACAATAAATTAAAGACATGTGGAAAGAGAAAAGGAAATACCTTACATGTTTTGCAAGCTTAGACACAAACCAATCCTCCTCACTATCCTTCAACTTTTGGGGGGAGTTCCTGACCCAGCTCAAAAGGGTTGACTGTGTGGGAGGAAGTCCAAGCAAATATTCCTGCCAGACCAGATGCTCAGCGTTCTCTATTCCCATAAGATGTATTTGAATATTCTCTCTATCTGATATATTCTGTATTGGGGTGTCCTGTTTGCACTGTTGTCAATGGCATGATAGAATAAAAGGAGTAGTGCAAATAGTATTTCAGAAACTGCATATTAGTGTGTCAAAACATTTGTATGTTTATTGAAGAGAATGTGTTAGAATTCAATGCATGGAAAGTGTTTCAGTGGGAAATTCCATGGAAGTTTGGATTCCTTCCTCAGCTGCTGAATCCAGCCCCTCTCGAAGGATTCTATCAATCCAATCAAGAATTGTAGTGAGTGTTACCCTGGAAAGGAGACAATGAAAATCAAGTTGTCAGCAGTAGATTTTTCAATAGTGCGCGTAATCGCTATATGTGGAACTGCTCACATAACCATTTGCAAGGAAAACTATTAAATAGGTTACTTTTAGGGCACTTATTTATGAAATTTTTTTGGGTGTTTTTAACTTTCTAAATGATTGCTGAATGATCCCAAAGATTAGCTCCAGTTTCCCCTAATACTAGTTCAGGACCTAGATTGCAAAACTTCCCTACCAGCAGTTCTGCATTGTTTTATGCATTCCTCCGAAGTCATGAAGTTGTTTCCATTCCCTCCACATCCACTAAAAATGAACATCATACATGTCCCAGTTACTGTGTCAAAAAAAAAGCAAATAGCAGGAGACCTGCAAGGTCCTATTCTTGGGCGAAGTGTACATTTCTCAGGAAATAGAACTGAAAGTGAAAAGAAGAAAATAAGCCAGACTGTCCCTTTTAAAGAAATCCAGAAGATCATTTGAGCATTTACTGGAAAAGTAGATCCTGAGAAATTCTCTCCAAACCTCAGAGAAACCACTTTGACTACCCTAACATGGTAAAAAAAAAACTCTCAGTTTTGACTCATTGCCAATTGTCGTTTGAAGGAACTGAAATACAATTTGGCCAGTGCAAGCAATCTATCCCTAAGAAGAGGCACTGAGCATCCAGGACCCCATTGGTGAGATCCCAGTCTTCTGGGACGGCTGAGAAAGTCATCAGGGAGAGCATTCTTTCATTTGCTTGAGGTTTAGGGCTTGTATTCCAGCAGACTGAAGGATAAATCTCTTCTGGAGCTGGGGATTCAAGCTGGGAAGTGGAGGGATGGTTCAGCCATTCCCTTTCCTCCTCTTCTAAAGACTTCATATGTATCTTTTCTTCATCCAAGTTTTAAGTATTTGTGGTATCTTCTTAGGGTGGGAAAATTCAAATGTTATTTATATTCTGGTTCCAAAATACATTGCTCTGCATCTGTTGTCCTTATTGATACATAAAAACAGTAGCTGTAGGTTTTAGGAAGAATTTCTACTTTGTAAGAAAGCGAATACAAGGAAATGCAAGAAAGCCTCTACTCAGATTTAATTTAGCCTTTTTGTACTGTGTTAAGATCTCCAGTTCCCCAATATTTGAATAATGCTCGCATCCTTAAATGGTTACCCCAGATTTAAGAACTTACTGGGAATGCTGCAAAAAAGGAAGATTTATTTTGTGGCTTTTGGATGATCCATTCCAGAAGAGGGCTTTCTAAAATCACTATCATATTCTGGGGGGGGAACCTCCATCATCAAGTCTATTGTTAATGCGATCATATTTTGGAATGGGAGGGAGCATTTGCAAGCAGATTGCACATAGGTGTGGAGGGGAAAAAAGAAAGATCTACCTGTATACAGAAAGCAGAAAATGAGCAGTCCAAAAATAAGGAACATGTAGTTTGAATGCATTATGGTAGTGAAAATATCAGTGGCTGCGTTGAGCTATTTTATAGATTGCTCAATAGGGAAGTAGTCCTGGTCATTCATGTAGTAGGAACGAGGAGGTCATATCTATGGCCCCTGTGTACAGTTTCACCGGTCATCCATAAACAGTGCTATATAGAGTGTAGCAAATGAGTAAGGAATTGTACCCTAATTAAATTGAAGGAATGAGGAAAGTGATAAAAAGGAAAGAGCTTTGCACTACCTCTCTGTATCTTTCTATCCTTGTAAACCACCATTGTTTTTACCATCTCCATACTTTGCTGTGCATTTCCACCATAAACGTTCTCATTCCTTTCTTTCCAGACTTGCATCCAATCCAAGCATGATACTCTAAATCTTGGCCTTCTTCATGAACCATTCGCTTTTTCTTCATGCATTGATTTTGCAATTCTGTTCCCATTAATTTGCTCTACTTGACTGAACCACTTTAATTCACTTTTGTATTCATTACATCCCACTAACTCTTGAACCCTGTTCCTACTTGCTTTACCGCACAAATAGTTTACGCATCCCTTTTCCCTGCCTTTAGCATCCTGTGGTGTTCCTGATGAGCTTCACGACTTTCAGTTCCATATAAGAAAGTAGGCAAAAGCACACTCTTATACTATACCACCAATTTTTTCTTACTTCGTGATATACAGTTAAGCACAAACTTCCATCCATCTTTCTATCAGCATTTCAATATGTTAACATTTCAATATGCATCACCCCATTTTTACTACACATTTTACCACGTCTTATGGCCAGCTCAGCCTCTGATGAGGAGACCAAGCTGCTGCAAGATCACAAGGGTATCCCTAAATCATCTCAGTGAGACAGCCATTCCAGGAATCTGATGGTGTACTTCACATCTTTTATATTTCCTCCTGCTTGGACTTTTGCTTTTCCTCACGCTCCCTCCACCCCAGAGATGAACTCTTCCTACTCGTCTTGATTAAAGCCTAAGGACAGGTGTGTTCAGATGTTGGTCATAAAAGCAGCATACCAATTGTGGAACTGCACATCCATTTCTGTCTCCCAGAGCATTGCATGTGCCAAATTTGTTGAAAATATCTGCAAAGACATTCCCACAGATGGATTTCTTATCTCTTTGTGTCTTTTTTTAAAGTTTTTTTATTAATAAAACAGTTAAAACAAAAAAGGACATAACGTGTCGTTCCAGTATATATAATCCTAACAATTTGTTCCTTGTCATACTTATAATCCTAATCTCTATGTATACATATTTTCCTATATAATACAGTCTCAAATTTGTTTCTCTATATACTAGCATACAGTTTTATATACCACAATCTTAACACTAACTTAAAGTCCAAATAGTTCTCCTTGACTCGTACCAGCAATAAAATTTGTCCCAGATTTCAAAATAGTCCATTTCTGTCTTGTCCTTTAATTCCATAGTAAGCCTATCCATATCAGCACACGATAAGATTTTATGTAGAATCTCTTCTTCTGTTGGAATTTCTTTATTTCTCCAGTTTGGTGCGTAAGCCAATCTGGCAGCCGTGAAGATAGGTAACATTAAGTAAAGTGCCCCTTTATCGTATTTCTGCGTAGCAATACCTAGTAAGAGGAGTTCTGTCCACCAATCAGGAGATGCTTGTTCTTCCAAATAAGTGACACTGGGCTGCTTCTATTTAAGAATCTGCAGTGAGCTGAAGGCTCTCCATTGGCAACAACAGATTGCTTACCCAGATTCTGTATGCCTTTCCTTCTGACTTTGATTCTGGCCTGATATAAGCCCCCTAAGTAAATCAGACAGGGGAACAAAATTGAGCTTATTCTACTTTATTGTGAGCATCTCTCCAATTCATTTAAAAGATCTGCAAGGCCGTTCTTACAGATGTATTCCCTATGATCTTGAGTCTTTTATATACTTATCCTGCCTTGTACCATTTCTGCATGACGTTTTAGTCCTTTCAAAATTTCAGGTTTTTTTTTGTTGTTGTTGTTGTTGTTCTTACATGTTTGGTTTTTTGAATTTAAGAACTTCTTTATATGTTTATATATTTTGGTTAGACATAATAAACAATGTAAGGAAGAAAGCAGGAGAGCAATGGGTCTGCAGATTCAATGTTATTGTAACCCTCCCACCCATTGTAATAATGTCAGGTGGGAAGAAAAAAGGGAGGGAGAGGGAGGGAGGGAACGACAGAAGGAAGGAAGGAAGGGAGGGAGGGAGGGAGGGAGGGAGGGAGGGTTTGTTTATGGGTTTAGTTAAACCTTTTTCCATCGGAAACACCAGCTTCCCCAAAATTGAGTCATCCACTCATCTCAAAAAGATGTCCTTATTGTTCATTGACCTAAATGCCTTTCATGAAAATGGAACAGTCTTCCGAGCATTCTCCATATTTATCCCATGTTTCCATGCTTATCCCAAAACTAAGAGGAGACTGAGAATAAAGAAAAAAAGGAAGTGCTATTTTATGTATCTCTGGTCATGTATTGCAGGGAATAGCTTTCTACATTCACCCTTATAATTGGCAAAGGGGGAGCTTTCTATCATCTATTCGATGTAATATCATCATTCTTGGATGTGGAGGGAGTCCAGGTTTGGTGGATACACCCAATTGTGTATTCAGTTGGAAAATATATTTGGGTGAGAGGCATTCTGAAACCACAACGTGAACAAGTCTGAATGAGCAGACAGTGAAATATGTTGTGCGGTTGAAAATAACTGTCCCGTACTCAGTCAAGCCACTTTTAATATTGCACCATGAGGAAGTACAGCCAGATATTCATGCAGTTGGAACCATGAGATGATGTGTAGGGACCTCAAGTACACTTCTCCTATAACTACAGAATGTACCCTTCATTCTATATAGAAATACTCTATTTAATAATTTGAAGTCATCTTGAAAGAGATAGAAAAAGAATTATTTACTACTTTTACAACCTTAGACATACATCAATCATTCTCACCATCCTCCAAAGGGATAACTGAGGGTATGAGGCCAAGGAAATATTCCTGCCAGGCCTGATGCTCAGTGTTCTCTTGTACAAAAAACACATTTCAATATCCCCTGTATCTGATATATTCACAGAATGCTCTGTTTTGGGGTGTCTAGCTTGCAATGACTGAATAAAAGGAGCATTGCAAATCATAGTCAAGAGAGAGACTGTTCAAAGCATGTGTATGTTTATTTAAGAGTATGCTTAGAATCAGATGCATGCAAGGTGTTTCAGTGGGAGACTCCATGGAAGTTTGGATTCCTTTCGCAGCTGCTGGATCCACCCCGTCTCTCAAAGTGTCCCATCAGTGAGATCTGGAATTGGAGTCCATGTTACCCTGGAAAAGGAGACAGAATGAAAATCAAGTGGTCAGCAGGAGAAGAGGCAAGTATATCTTTAGATCCTTAGTCTGCTCCACTTCGTAGAACAACCATCTCCTCAGCGTGAATATTCAACATTGGCAGAATAATGTCATGGCTTTAGTGTGTTTTCTGTCTAATTACAGGTGCCTCCATTGTTTCTTTTATTAACTTTTTTATTAACAATGTGACCTCCTGATGTAATGTATGATGCCATATTTCCCAGTAGGAAAGAATGGTCCCAATTAAACTCTCAAAAGTGAAGAATTAGAAAAAAAAGTCCCAGTCTACAGTCAAGTGAAAGTCTCACATCAAACCCTGCAGGAAAATTTATTGCCAGTTGGATGCAGAATAGTAGCATTTTTCCAGAAAACTTTTTCATGCCTTAATAGTACATAATACATTTTCTTTCATGAAGCATTGCAAGACAGTCTGGACAAACAAAGGGATCTCCAGGCATTGCACGTGTTAGAAGTGACTTTTCCTGTGAGGAATCTATAATTGTCATTGATTTTTCAGTATTTTGCTTAATTCAAATGTGATTCCCCTTTATCAATTGAGGGCAGAAATGCTCACATAACTCTCTGCAAGTAAACCAGTAAAAACAAGAAAGCTACCTTCATGGCACTTCTTTAGGAAATTTCTTTTTGCATTGTTACCATTTTAAAAGATGTCTTGATTTTGCTGATTGCGCCCACTGATAAGCTCCTCTCGCTAGTTCAGGGCCTGGATTGCGGAACTGAGATCAAGGCAACTTTAGGACTAAAGAGTTTTCAGATCAATGACTGACAGACAAGACTGAAATGCCATTTCTTTTAAGTAAACAATTAAAATTGCTTCCTTACCAGACCTTTGACATCTAGCTCTGCATTCAGCCATAGATGCGAAGTTGTTTGCATTTCCTCCACAACCACCATAAATGAATTGCTCACAGTTCCCAGTTGCTGCGTTGAAATAATGACGAGGAAATGAAGCTTTGCACCGTCCTACTTCTCTGGGAAGTGTACATATATCTGGAGATACAGGTGAAAGTGAAAAGAAGAAAATGAGACAGACTGTCCCTCTTAAGGAAACCCAGAAGATCACTGCATGACTCCAGAGTGAAGAGCAACATGAATATTTCAGAATCTATTGGAAAATACGACATAAATACGACACTTACTTATGAAATTTTTGGGGGTGTTTTTAACATTCTAAATGATTACTGAATGATCCCAAAGATTAGCTCCAGTTTCCCCTAATACTAGTTCAGGACCTAGATTGCAAAGTTTCCCTACCAGCAGTTCTGCATTGTTTTATGCATTCCTCCGAAGTCATGAAGTTGTTTCCATTCCCTCCACATCCACTAAAAACGAACATCATACACGTCCCAGTTACTGTGTCAAAAAAAAAGCGAAGAGCAGGAGACCTGCAAGGTCCTATTCTTGGGCGAAGTGTACATTTCTCAGGAAATAGAACTGAAAGTGAAAAGAAGAAAATAAGCCAGACTGTCTCTTTTAAAGAAATCCAGAAGATCATCACATGAAAATATATCCAGAGTGCAGGGCAACCTGAATATTTGATCCTGAGCAATCCACTCCAAACATCAGAAAAAGTGAAAACAATTTGCCCACCCAAACATAGCGAGAACATCAAATTTGAGTCATTGCCACGTGCCATTAGAAGTCCTCAAAGAACTGAAGTGCAGCTAAGAAGAGGCACGAGATCCCCATTCCTAAGATCCCAGACTTCTGGGATGGACAGAGGAACTCATGGGAGAGGTTTCCTCCCAATTGCTTGAAGGTTAGGGTTTATATTCCAGCAGGCAGAAGGAGAAACCCCTTCTGAAGCTGGGCATTCAACACTTGGAGGAAGGGCACCTGGAAGTGGAGGGATAGGTGGCCATTCCCTTTCTTCCTCTTCCAAAGACTTCACGTGGACCTTCTCTTCATCCAGATTTAAGTATTTGCAGAGTGTACTTATGATGGATTCCCAAAATTGATTTTTTATTGTCTTTCTATAAAGATTGGAACCAAGTAGGTCTTTATAATTCAGCTCAATAGTAAAACCTATGAACCGCTTACAAACAAAACGGGGGACAGCGGTGGCAGAGGAAATAGGATGAGTTAGGAGAGTTGCCAGTATACTCAAAAGATGCAAGGTCTATTACAAGACAGTGAACCAGAGAGGTCCACAAAAGTTAATAACTAGAAAAGAAGTCCCAGTCTATAGCCAGGTCCACAGACGTAGATGTGTCACTCCAAACACTGCAAGAAAATTCATTGGTACTTGAATGCAGAATAGTAACATTTTGCCAGAAAACATTTTCATGCTGTAATGACATATAATACATTTTCTTTCATGAAGCATTACGAGGCAGTCTGAACAATCAAAAGTATCTCCAGGCATTGCACACGTTAGAAGTGACTTTTTCTTTGAGGAATCTATAATTTTCTTCGATTTTTCAGTATTTTGCTTAGTTCCAAAGTGATTCCCCTTTATCAATTGAGACACATAACTGCAAGAAAAACAGTAAAAACAAGGAAGTACCTTTATGGTATTTTTTTAGAAAATTTCTTTTTTGCATTTTTACCATTTTAAAAGATCTGATTTTGCTGATTACACCCACTTATAAGCTCCTCTCCCTAGTTCAGCACTTGGATTGCAGAACTAAGATCGAGGTAATTTGGGACTCAAGAGTTTTCAGATCAATGATTGACGGACTAGACTAAAATGCCATTTGTTTTAATTATGTGCTAAGGCAAAAATTAAAATTTCCTACTTACCAGAATTTTGACATGTAGCTCTGCACTGAAACCAATTTAGAAAGTTGTTTTCATTTCCTCCACATCCACCATAAATGAATTCCTCACAGTTCTTAGTTGCTGCATTGAAATAAAAACGATGAAATGAAGCTCTGCACCGTCCTACTTTTGCGGGAAGATTACATATCTCTGGAGTTACACCTAAAAGTGAAAAGAAGAAAATAAGACACACTGTCCCTCCTAAAGAAATCCTGAAGATGATTGCACGAATATATATTGTGTTCAGAATAGTGAAAACAAGTTGCCAGCCCTAACACAGTGAGAAAACTCCAATTTGAGTCATTGCCAGCTGCCATTAGAAGTCCTCAAAGAACTGAATTGCAGACACAAGCTGCTGTATCCCTAAGAAGAGGCACCAAACCCCCATTCCTGAGATCCCAGATTCCTGGGATGGACTGAGAAAGTCATCAGGGAGAACTTTTGTCCCGTTTGCTTGAAGGTTGGGGCTTGAATTCCAGCAGAAAGACGGAGAAAACGCTTCTGGAACTGGGAATTCAACACTGGGAGGAGGGGCACATGAAGGTGGAGGGGAAGGTGGGCCATTCTCTTTCCTCCTCTTCCAAAGAGTTTGCAAGTACCTTCTCTTCAACCAGGTCTAAGTATTTGTGGTGTCTGCTTAAGGTTGGAAAATTCATATATTGTTTATTTTCCAGTTCCCAAATACATTGCTCTGAATCTGTTGCTTCTTGTTGATCTACGAAAAACAGTAGCTGTAGGTTTTAGGAAAAATATATTTGCTATAGCTTTGCTACTAATGATTTTTTACACCAAAAAAGGATTTCAATTTCTTTCTTACCAAGGCTTTGGCATTCTTTTATGCATTCGTTCAAAGTTAAGAAGTTATTGTCATTCCCTCCACATCCACTATAAGTGAACATCACACATATCCCAGTTGCTGAGTTGAAAAAATAGCGAGCAGTAGGAGACATACACAATCCTATTGTAGGGACTTGTGTACATTTCGCGGGATATACACCTGACAGTGAAAAGAAGAAAATAAGACAGTCTCTTTTAAGGAAACTCAGAAGTTCATCGCATGAAAATAAACTGTTCTGACTCCAGAGTCCAGGGCAACGTGAAAAATGCTCATATCCCAAAATGATTACCTCAGAACTAAGGACCAACAGACAATACTGCAGAAAAGGGATTTTTATTCTGTTTGTTTCAGATGGCTTCCTAAACTAAATGCCATGGGTTAAAGGTCCCTCCATCATCAAGTCGGTTGTTCATGTGATCATATCTTAGAAGACAAAGGGGCAGTGGCAAGCAGAATGCACGTAGGTATAGAAGGAAAAGAAAGTTCTTGCTACCTACCTACAGAAGAGGCAACCCGAAAGCAGAAAATGAGCAGTCCAAAAGTGAGGAACATGCAGTTTGAATGAATCATGGTGATGAAAATAAGTATCCAATGCTGAGTTGAATCATTTTATAGATTATCCAACAGTGAAGTACACCTGGGCATTCATGTGGTTGGAACACCAAGGTCCAGTTCCCCAATATCTGATTAATGCTCACATCCAAACATGGTTACTCCAAGGACCAACTGGGAATACTACTGCACGTTGAGTGTTATTAGGAATCAATAAACTTCTTCATAATGAGGGACTTATTTTTTAGAAGTTTATTGACTTCTAAAGTCACTCCCTCGTTCATGTAGTTGGAACAAAGAGATCATACGTAGTGATCTTGAGTAGTTCCACCTGTCATTCATAAACATAAGGAATTCTAGCTTAATTAAAGTGAAGGCATGAGGGAAGAGATAAAAAGAAAAGAGGCACAATTACTTAGCACCACCTCCCTCCCTCACTGTATCTTTCTGTCTTTGCAAACCACCTTTGTTTTTATAAGCTCCATAGTCTGCTGTATATTTACACAATGAAAGTTACACATTGAAACGCCACATCCTGGTATTGAAAACAAGGGTCTTGTGCTCAGTCAAGCTACTTTTTATATGCACTATTGCAAGCGTCCCCAACCATTGAGAACTGGGTGAGCAGGTGAAACTTCACTCCCACTGCTTACGTGAAACCATCCCTTCTCCCCCACAATCGCTACTGCCACTAACCCTACTGGTCCACAGAGCCGGAAAGATTGGGGACCGCTGCTTTGTAAGAAATGCAGCTGGACATTCATATGGTTTCAACAATGAGTAAATATGTAGGGGCCATAAGTACAGTTCAGATATAATTACGTATTGTCATACTGGTTAAACAGTGCTAAAGAAAACATACCTTAGTGCAGATATGTCAAACACAAGGCCTGCGGGCCGGATGCGGCCCGCTATGTGGTTCCATCTGGCCCAGGGATCTGCTCTGGAAAGAGTGAAGGACCGGCCTGCCATACCTCGGCCTAGCCCAGGCCAACCAGGCATTGATCTACAACCTGGTTGTGTCCATCAAAGCCAGAACATGCTTAGCATTAAATCCATGGGGCAGTGCCACCCTGCCCTTTGGGTGCACACGCAAGCGGAGTCCAGCATCCCTGCTGGCTGTCTTGTCCCACAGGCTGACTTCACCCAGGATGCCGGCGCTGGCGCACCCTCAGGGCGGGGCAGAGGTGGCAAGGCAGCTCCTTCCAGTGGATCTTAGGCTGAACGCGTTCTGGCTTGGATGGACGCAACCAGGTTGTAGATCAGCACCAATCCATCCCCCCACCAGCACCTCCAGCCTCGCAGCCATGAGGCTTTCCTTTCACCAGCATAGACTGCCCCCCACGTGAGATAGCAAGACTGGCAGCAACATGGCAGCGCTGGCAATCTCTCCCCCTCCCATCACCCCTTCTTGAGCATGGAGGAAGGAAAGAGATGAGAAGGAAAGAAAGAAGAAAGTGTAGTGGAGAGGAGAGGAGAATTGGGGGGGGGGAATCGGCACTGGCTGGGAGGCTTTGCCAGAGCTCTGTGGATTCGGCAGAGAGGTCTGGTGCTTTGGTGGCCTCCACAGTGGCTGGCGGTGGAGCAGGGCTCTTGGGGAGGGATTTTTAAAGGGGAAGAGGAGATTGACTGGGGGAAGAAGATTTTATTTTCTCTTTTCCGGAGAGAAAAGCCAAAAGGAGGGAGAGCGAGGTAGGAAGTTTATTCTCTGGAAAGAGAATAAAAAGCCTTTTCGCCAACTTCCTGCCCAGGCACCCCTGAAGCGAATGATGTCGAGCTGGCCACGCCCACCCAGTAGGTCACACCCATCCCGGCCACACCCACCCAGCCCCCCAAGGGCAACCACAATGCTGATGTGGCCCTCAGTGAAACTGAGTATGACACCCCTGGCTTAGTGTGACAATGTTGCATTTAATAAATTAAAGACGTGGAAAGAGCTGGAAAAGGAAATACCTTACATCTTTTGCAACCTTAGATACACACCAATCGTTCTCGTTATCCTTCAGCCATGGGGTGGAGTTCCTGACCCATCTCAAAAGGGTTGATTGTGTGGGAGGAAGGCAAGCAACTATTCCTGCCAGATCAGATGCTCGGCATTCTCTATTCCCATAAGATGTATTTGAATATTCTCTCTGATATATTCCCTGAATATTCTGTATTGGGGTGTCCTGTTTGCAATGTTGTTAGTGGCATGATAGAATTAAAGGAGTAGCGCAAGTAATATTTCAGAAAATGCGTACTAGCATGTGAAAGCATTTGTATGTTTATTTAAAAGTATGCTTAGAATTTGATGTTTTTGTGGGAGAGCCCATGGAAGTTTGGATTTCTTCCTCAGCTGCTGAATCCACTCCATCTCTCAAATGATTCCATCAGTGAGATCAGGAATTGGAGTCAACGTTGCCCTGAAAAGGAGACAGAATCAAATTCAAACTGTCAGTAGTAGAAGAGGCCAAGGTATCATTACATCCTTAGTCGACTTTACCCTATAAGATGTCACGTCCTTAGTGTGAGTATTGAATTTGGTGGAATGATGTAATGACATCATCATCATTATCATCATCATCATCATTATTATTATTATATTTTATTATTATCTCATCTCATGTTAGCTCATCCTATCCTATCCTCTTATCTTATTCTATCTTATCTTAGACTACTGCAGGGAAATTTGGACCAACAAAAAGATCTCTAGGCTTTACACATTTTAGAACTGACTTTTTCTTTGAGAGATACAGTATACAGTTTCCTTTGATTTTTCAATATGCATTTAATACCAAAGTGATCCCTTTTATCAATGAAGTATAGAAATGCTCTCATAACCTTTTGCAAGAAAAACCATAAGAACAAGAAAGCTACTTTTATGGCAATTTTTACTTTTATGAAATTTGTTTTGGTACTTTTTCTTTTCTAAATGTTTACTGGTGAAGTCCAATGGTATCCCCCACTTTCTCCTCTCACGAGTCCAGGGCATGGATTGCAAAACCAAGATGAAGGTAGCTTAGCTCATTAAAGAGTTTTCAGATTGGTGGTTGACGGTCAAGACTAAAATCTCATTTGTTTTAATTGTGTGCCAAGACAAAGATGTCAATGTCTTCCTTACCAGCATGTTCACATTGCTTTATGCATTCATCCATAGTTAAGAAGTTGTTTTCATTCCCTCCACATCCACTATACACAAATTTTTCACACTTCTCAGTTATCCTGTTGAAAAAATAACGGCGAGAGGGAGTTGTGCATGATCCTACTATTGGGGCATTTGTACACATGCTGGGGTAAGCTGAAAGTGAAAATAATAAAATAAGACACACTGTCCCTCTTAAGGAAACCCAGAACATTATCGCATGAAAATATACTGTGTTCTGACACCAGAGTGCAAGAGAACATGAATATTTGAGTGCCTATTAGACAAGTAGATCCCGAGAAATCATCCCCACAATTCAGAGACATGAAAACCCTTTGACTACTCTCACATGACTGTAGCACTATGTTCTGAGTCAGTGCCATCTGCCAAGCTTTTCAGCTTCTAAGAGTAGGCACAGAGCTTCCAGACCCCATTCCTAAGATCCAGAACTTCTGGGATGGACTGAGAAACTCATCAGAGAGAGCTTTCCTCCCATTTGCTTGAGGGTTAAAGCTTGTATTCCAGGAGATTGAAGGAGAAACCCCATTTGGAACTGGTCATTCAAAACCTGAAAGTGGAGGGGCAAGAATGGTTTCTTAAAGTTTCTTATTTGGCGGAAATGGCAAAGATTTCGGCTTTTTTGAAAGATCAGTCGCAAGAGAAGTATCTCTTGGTATGGAAAAGATGGATAGATTTTATACAATATAAGTTGGATATAAAAAAATATTATTTAGTTTTTGAATAACTTATATTTAAAGTTTAAGATATTTTATAGATATTTTTCTTAATTCTTTATTTTTCTTTTTTCTTTTATTTTTTCTTTTTCTGTTTGTTTTTTTCTCTCTTCTTGTTTTTTTTTATATATACTGTTGTCAACTATTTTATAATTTGTGTAATTAATGTATTCGGATATGTTTATGGAATATATGTGTTTTAAGATTTTTTTTTAAATTTTAATTAAGCCTGTATTCAGCTCTGGGAAGGTTGGGGGAGGGTAGGGGATGGTAGGGAGGGTTCGGGGAAGGGAACTTTTTTTTTTGTAAAATTTAAAAAATCTTCAATAAAAACAAACAAACAAACAAAAAAAAACCTGGAAATGGAGGGGTGGGTGGGCATTCCCTTTCCTCCTCCTCCAAAGACTTCACATGTCCCTTTTCTTTGATTTAAGTATTTACAGTATCTGCTTAAGGTGGGAAAATTCATATGTTATTTTTATTGCAATTCCCAAATACATTGCATCTATTGCTCCGTTTTGGTGTACAAAAACGGTACCAGAAGATTTTAGGAAGAATATATGATTCATAGGAAAGTTTACAGAAGGAAGTGCTAGAAAACCTCTAGTTTAATCTTTCTATACTGTGTCAAGACTTTCACTTCCCCAAAATTTGAATAATGCTGATATCCCAAAATGGTTGACCCAAAACGGAGGACCGACTGGGAATTCTGCAGAAAAAGGACTTTTATTCTCTGTGTTTTGGATGATCCATTCCAGAAACTACCTTCCTAAAATCAATCCCATATTCTGATGAAATATATAAAAAAACAAGAGATGAACCAATAATATATAAGGGTAAAGAAATAATTGTATTAAAACAAATACCACGTAGTATACAAAATCAGAGACGAGAATACCAATTTTTAACAACTCAAATTAATTAAATATAAAGTCATGTTTCGTTGGTTAATACCTGAAGGCATACTTTTAACTTGGCAGGAAAAAAAATATAAGATAGATACACTTGAGAAAGCACTGGACTTTTATGAGAGTTACTTTTCACAAGGAGAAGAACAAGAAAGTAGGGAAGACCGGAGATTAAAAGTTATGATGAAGATCTATTAGAGGACGTTGATCAAGAGCGAGAAATACAAAAGTTACAAGAAAGAGAAAGGTTAGAAAGAGAAGCAAAAGGAAGACTTATAGAGACAAGAAGCATAAAACAAAATAAAAACAAAAAATAGATCAAATTAAAAATGGGAGACGTAATTAAGCTCTTTTCTGTAAACATTAATGGATTAAATATATCAAGAAAAAGAGTTTAAACGATTAACAATTTAAGGAAATTGGATGTAGATGTGATGTATCTTTAGGAAGTTCATATAAATGGGATTATAGAAAATTACTAGAGAAAGTAAAATTTAGAAACATACACAATATTAGCATAAAACAAGAAAGGAGGAATTATATATGTCAAAGGAAAAATCAAATCAATATACTTGGATGAAAAGGGGTGAATTTTAATGTTGGAAATAGTATTAAAGTAAAAATAGTATATGCACTAAATAATAATTAACGTGAATCTTTTTTTAAAAAAAATAAGGTATATAAGAAGCTAGTGGATTTGGACTATGAGAATATTTGTATGATCACCAGGCCTAGATGGAATTCCGGTCGAGTCTTATAAAAAATACGAGAGTTACTACAATGTATAATGTTGGAAATTTAAAATGAGGTGTTGGTAGAGGCGATATGTGTATAATAATAATAATATGAATTATTCCTACTAAGTAGTAGAATATGAAAGAAGGAAAATGTAAATAAAAAACAATGGGGCAATAAGGACAAATATTTCAAAGAAGAAAGAGGGGGAAAATGTAAATAATAGAAGAGTACTGTTACAAATTGCTGTTAACAAAAATGATATATTACGTGTGTATGTGTGTAATGTTGTGTTATGTTTTGTTTTGTTTTGTTGGTCTAAAATAAAAATAAATAAATAAATAAATAAAACCAATCCCATATTCTGAGGGCTCCTCCATCATCTGTTGTTAATGGGATCATATCTTGGAAGTAGAGGGAGTATTTGCGGGCAGATTGCATGCACGAGTGGAGGGGAAAAAAAGGTCTTATCTACCTACCTCCACAAACGGCATCCTGAAAGCAAAGGAGCAGGAGAAAAGTGAAGAGCACGTAGTTCAAATTCTTCATTGTGCTGAAAGCAAGTATCCAGCGCTGACTTGAGCTCTTTTATGGATTGTTCAATAGGGAAGTAGCCCTGGGCATTCATGCCGTTGGAACAAGGAGTTCATAAGTAGGGACTCTGAGTACAGTTCCACCAATTACCCATAAACATTGCTATATAGAGCATGGCAAATGAGTAAGCAATTGCACCCAAATTAAATGGAAGGCATGAGGAAAGCGATTAAAAAGGAAATGTCTAGAATGGCTTTGCATCACTTCCCCTCCCTCTCTGCATCTTTCTATTCTTGAAAACGAACTTTGTTTTTACCACCTACATACCATCTACATATTTACACAGTATCTCATCTCTTTCCAGCCATGCATCTGATCCACCCATGACCCCACCTCTTTGCCTTCCTCATGAACCATTCACTTTTTCTTCATATGTTTGCTTTGCAATTCAATCCCTATTTATTTACTCTCCTTGACTGAATGATTTTCATTCACTTCTGTATTCATTCCCCCAAACACACACTCTTGGTCCTGTCCCTTCTTGCTCTAACATGCAAATACTTCAGGCACCTCTTTTTCATGTGTTTAATTTTATGGAGTGTTCCCACCAGGCTTCCCAATTTCCAATTCCATGTAATAAAGTGGGGAAAAGCACCTTCTTATACAGTCATTTTTTTTTTTTTTACTTCATGACATACAGTCAAGGACAAACTACCATCCATCTTTCTACCAGCATTTCAATATGTTACTTTTTCAGCTTGCATCATTCCATTTTTAATACACGTTTTACCAAGTCTCATAGACCAGGGCTTTTCAACCAGTAGTACGGGTACCACCTGTGGTACATTGGCACCTGGCAGGTGGTACGCGAGCATCCTAGAAAAGTGGTTGTGGGGGAAGGGAATGAGCTGAACTGGTGGCAGCACCGCACAAGCCTGAGCAAGAGATGGCTGGAGCTGCAGGGCTGTCAGGGCTCAGTGGAAGCACCAGGATCAGTGTCGCTTTCCAGCTGATCGGCACTTCTTGGGGGCTGTCAGGGCTCAGTGGAAGTGCCAGGATCAGCGCCAGGCTCCAGCTGATCCCAGAAGAAGTGCCGATCAGCTGGAATGTTGCAGCATCTCCAGGGTCTTGTGATTTACATTCAGATGCTTGGCAACTGATTCATATTTATGATGGTCAGTGTCCCAGTGTCATGTGAAGTGACCAAAACCTGCTGTAACCACCCAGCAGACAGGGGGAATAAAAAGCAAACACCCCCACCCACCCTTGCTGCCAATCCTCAACAGAAATGCTCACAACAAATGAAAACCTCGGACAGGTGGAAGAGCGCGGCCGGGCGGGCAGGCAGGTGTCTTGCTTGGCTGTGGCTTGGGGGGCACTTTTTTTCAGTGTCATTGTAACTTCAAACAGTCACTAAGCAAACTGTTGTAAGTTGAGGACTACCTGTACTTTATCACTTTTTTCCTTTTGGGGGGGGGGGTCATCAAGTTTTTGACACCTTGCTAGGCGACTGGTGGTACTTGGATACTGCCATATCCTAAAAGTGGTACAATGGATGAAACGGTTGAAAAGCCCTGTCATAGACAGCTCAGCCTGTGATGAAGAGACCAGCATTGAGCACCAGTTTGAGAGTAGCTGGATGAATTGCTACATGAGTTGGTGCAGGAAGAGGAGGTTAAGCTACCCAACAACCAAAAGAATCACTCTTACACAGTCACTTCCTCTTATTTCGTGACATACAGTCAAGCACAAACCACCGTCCATCTTTCTACCAGCCTTTGAAGATGATAAAATTTCAACGTGCGTTATGTCCTCTTTAGTACAGTTTACTAAGTCTCATGTCCAACTCGGCGTCTGTTGAGATCAGCAATGAGCATCAGTTCTAGAGTACCTGGATGATCTGTTGCCTGAGATGCTGCAGGTTGAAGAGATTGTGCTGTCCAGCAACCCGAAGAACCACCGGAAGTGCTGCTGCTGCTACTACTCCTCTCTGAAGAGAAGGCATTGGAGCAAGGGGTCACCACTGGCAGAGCAAAGCAGAGCAAGAACATCCTGCAAGGCTCCTCGTGAGAAAGGAACCTCATTCTTCCCAATAAGCAACACTGGGGCTGCTTCTCTTTAAGAAGAGCAGTGAGCTCAATTCTCTCCATTGGCGACAACCGATTGTTTACCCAGACTCCATGTGCCTGACCTCCTAATGTGAAACCTTGTGGCTTTGACTCTGGCCTGATGTAAGCCCCCCAAGTCAGCCAGACAAGAAAAAGAGTCAGCTTATTCTACTTTATTGTAAGGCGGCGTTAAGAGAATCTTGCAAGTCTAAAAGTACAATTCTCCCACCATCTCATTTTAACTCTCTGATGATTTAGGATGAATCTCTTCTAAGTTACTTTCTCTGCCCGTTATTCAGTTATGGGCTTTCCCTTGCTTTTATCTCATCCTAAGGTAGGAAGCACTTCTTCCCCTGATTTCCCAATTACCATTCACATATACTGTTATATCACCCTCATTCCCCTTCACCCAAATTTCGAGGGGAAAACGGTTGCGGAGTTTGAGATTTAAATTTTTTTTATTTTTTTATTTTAAGTATTTTATTTAATTTTTATAGCAGTCCATCTCAACCAAGTGACTCTGGGCTGTGAAAACTTCTAAAATGAATGTGTGTTTTTCTCCTCCCGTGACTCCTCAGGATCACAAGTGGCATCCATTAATTATCTCCTTCTGTTTATGTGACAGCTGCCCCTCCCTTGGGAATCTGTTGGCTTCAGTTATAGCTTGTATGCCTGCTGTGGAAGGAGCAGATTTGTTTCCACTTACTCGGTCTCTTGCTTTTCCTCCACCTCATAGATGAACTCTTCCCAGTCATCTTAATTAACGCCTAACTCCTGTAAGGCTAGTAATAGTCAAGACAGGTGTGTTCGGATATTGGTCATGAAAGCAATATATCAGTTATGTAGCTGCACATCTGTTCATGTCTCCCAGAGCACTCCATTTCCCAAATTTGTTGAACAGATCTGTAAGGTGGGCTTTCCACCATCTATTCCATTTAATGCCATCATTCTTGGGTGTGGAAGGAGGCCATATTGTATGTGGATACACACAATGATCTATAGGGCTGGAGAAGGTGCCTAAATTTGGGTGAGGGGGCATCCTGAAAACAGAAAGTGAGCAAAGCTGAATGAGCAAGTAGTGAAAGACTTGAGAACAAGTGTCTGGTGCTCAGTCAAGCAACTGTTTATATGCACTATAGGAAATGCAGCTGGACTTTCATGCAGTTGAAACCATGAGTTGATAAGTAGGAACTGTTAAGGACAGTTCTGCTCCAACTACGTACCATCCTTCTAGTTAGGCATGTTAAATAGCACAGCAAAGATTAAGAAATGTTGCTTTTAATAAATTGAAGCCATGTCGAAAGAGTTAGAAAAGAAAATATTTTACATCTTTTACAACCTTAGACATACACCCATCATTCTCATTATCCTTCAACCCTAGGGTGGAATTTCTGAATGATCTATCTCTAAAAGTGTGACTGTGAGGGAGGAATAGCAAGCAAAAACACATTTTAATATTCCCTGTATCTGATACATTCACTGAATACTGTGTATTGGGGTGTCCTGTTTTCAATATGGCTGATGGCCTGACAGAATAAAAGGAGCAGTGCAAATAGTATTCCAGAAACTGCATATTAGCGTGTCAGAGCATTTGTACGTTTATTTAAGAGAATGCTTAGAATTCAATGCATGGAAAGTGTTTCTGTGGGAGAGTCCGTGGAAGTTTGGATTCCTTCCTCAGCTGCTGAATCAACACCATCTCTCAAGAGGGCTTATCACTAAGAACAGGAAATAGATTTCCTGGAAAGGAGACAGGATAAAAATCAAGCTGTCAACAGTAGAAAAGGCCAATATTGCATTGGTTCCTTAGAGAGGTCAAATAAATCATCAGTCTCAAATTCCTTCTTGCTCATAAGGATCCAGCCCACTTTGAATTCCGTTGACTCTTACCTATCACCAGTTTGCTTTGACTATTAGTAGTTCAGATTGTGGTAGAGAGAATTTATATATCCATTTGAATTGCCTAGATTCCTGATTTTCTGCGCTTGATACCAATTCTATTATATAGTGTGAGGTCCTCAAAAGTAAATGATTAAGAAAGAAGTTTTGTCTACAGCCAGGTCCACAGAGATGGAAGTCTCATTCCAAATGCTGAAAGAACATTCATTGACATCTTGCAAGAAAACCTTTTCAAAGTAATATAATGTTCTAATGTTATAGTACATTTTTTAATGAAGCAGTGCAGGGCAATTTGGACAAAGAAAAACATTTCCAGGCATTACATATGTTTGCAATTACAATAACAATAGCACCTCGACTTATATAATGCTTCACAGTATTTTACAGCATTCTCTGAGTGATTATAATATCAACATATTGTTCCCAACAATCTGGCTTCTTATTTAACTGATCTAGGAATGATGAAAAGCTGAGTCAACCTTGAGCTCCTCAGGATCAAACTCCAGGCTGTGGGCAGAGTTAGCCTGCAATACTGCATTCTAACCACTGTCCTAACAGGGCTCCTGAATGACTGAGCAGACTTTTTCTGTGAGAAATATATAATTTCCTTTGATATTTCAGTATGCATTTAATGCCAAAGTGATCCCTTTTATCAATTGAGTGCAATAATCTCCCATAACAGTCTCCAAGGAAAATAATAAAAACAAGAAAACTACCTTTGTGGCACTTATTTATGCAATTTGTTTGGTCTTTTTACCTTTTTAAAAAAGTTTGCTGATTGAGCCCCATGATAAGCCCCAGTTTCTCCTCTCGCTAGTCCAGGGCTTGGATTGCAAAATTGACATGAAGGTAACTTCAGCTCACTAAAGAGTTTTTAGATCAGTGGTTGAGGTCAAGACTAAAATGGCATTTGACAGTTCTGTGCAAAGGCAAAGATTTCAGTTGCTTCCTTACCATAATGTTGACATTTCATCATGCATTCAGTCCAAGTAAGGAAGTTGTTTTTATTCCCTTTACATCCACCATAAATGAAGTATTCACACCGCCCAGTTCTTTTGTTGAAATAAAAACGAATTAAAACAGATTTGCATGGTCCTTTTTTAAGCCGAAGTTTACATATAGCTGCATTTGTCTTTGAAGATGCTGAAGAAGATAAGAAGATAGATTCTTACACTTAAGATAACCAAGAAGATCCCAGCTTTAAAATATACTATGTTCTGGCTCCAAAGTGCAAGGCAAGATGAATATTTGAGCATTTACTGAAAAAGTAGATCCTGAGCAATCTTCCCCCACAATCAGACAAAGTGAAAACACTTTGACTGCCCTCCTCCCACAATGAAAACACTCCATTGGAAGCCCTAAGAGGAACTGAAGTACAGTCTGACTGACGCAAGCTGATCTACCCTTAAGAAGAAACTCAGTGCTTCCAGGCCCCCGTTCCTGAGATCCCAGACTTCTGGGATGGATTAAAAAGGTCATCCAAGAGAACTTTTCTCCCATATGCTTGAGGGTTAGAGCTTGTATTCCAGCAGACTGAAGGAGAAACCCCATGTGGAGCTGACATTCAAAACTGCCAGGAGGCGCACCTGGAAGTGGAGAGTGGGTGGTCCATTCCCTTTCCTCCCCTTCCAAACACTACACGGATACCCTTCTTCACCCAGGTTTAAATATTTGCAGCATCTGCTTAGGGTGGGAAAATTCATATTTATGTTCCCAAACACATTGCTCTGTACCCACTGCTCCCTTTTGATGTAGATCCAGGTTCATATGTTCTTCATATGAAAAGGAAATGCAAGAGGACTTCTATTTGTATTTAGTTTAGCCTTTTTAAACTGTTTCGGGATCTCCACTTCCCCAAAATTTAAATTATGCCCTTGTCCCAAAATGTGTGTTCTTCCTTATTTTCCTAAATGCCTTCCAAGAAAACAGAACAGACCTCCAAACATTGTTCATACCGTCCTCCATTCTTATCCCAAATTTAAGAAGTCACTCAGAATAATCCAATGAAAAGGAATGTTATTTTCTGTATCTCTGACCAGACATTACAGGGAACAGTTTTCTAAAGTCAATCCAAAATTTGGGGGCGGGGGCTTTCCATCATATATTCTATTTAATGTCATCTCACTTGGGTGTGGAGAGAGGCCAGGTTGTATGTGGAAAGACACTATTGTGTGTTGGCTGGGAAAATGCATCTAAATATGGGCAAGAGTCATCCTGAAACCAGAAATGAGCACTCAGTGAAATACATGCTGGTGTTAAGAACAAGATTCTGGGGCTGAGTCAAGCCACTTTTTAAATTGTACTATAGACAATTACAGCTGGACATTCATGCAGTTGGAACTATGAGTTCATATGTAGGGGGCTTAAGTACAGTTGTGTTATAACTACGCACATTTAAACTGGTTAAATAGTGCTACATAGAACATAGCAAAGACTAAGAAACAGTGCACTTAATCAATTGAAGGCATGTGGAAAAAATAGAAAAAGAAATATTTTATAACTTTTACAAGCAAAGGGCTCCTTTGTTCATTTTATCTTCATTAACAATACGATGATCTGATTTATGATGTCATGTTTTGCAGCAGGAAAGGAGTGGTGCTAAAATCGAATGTTTATTGTCTTTCTAGAAACACAGGGTGGAAACAAGTAGGTCTCTATAATTTAGCTCAGTAGCAAGAATTATGAACCCCTCATAAATAAAGGGGGACAGTGATGGGGGGGTAAAGGACAAGTTAGGTTAGTTGCCAGGATAACGAAAAGATGCTATTATACAGAGTGAGCCAGATAGGTCATCAAAAGTGAATAAGTAGAAAAAAACTCCTGTCTATGGCCAGGTCCATAGAGGTTATGGGTGCTCCAATACTGGAGATTTTTAAAAAGATATTGTACAACCATTTGTCTGAAATGGTATAGTGCAGGGGTAGGCAACCTTGGCTCTTTTATAACTCGTGGACTCCACGAGTCATAAAAAAGCCAAGGTTTCCTACCCCTGGTATAGTGTTTCTTGCCTGAGTAGGAGGCTGGTCTAGAAGACCTCCAGGGTCACTTCCAATTCTGTTATTCAGAGGTGGAAGTCTAACTCCAAACATTGCAAGAAAATTCATTGTCAGTTGCATGTAGAATAGCAGCACCTTGCCAGAAAACATTTCCATACTGCAATGACGTATAATACATTTTCTTTCATGAAGCATTGCAAGGCAGTCTGGACAAACAAAAGCATCTCCAGGCATTACATGTGTTAGAAGTGACTTTTCCTGTCAGGGATATATGATTTCCTTTGATTTTATAGTACTTTGCTTAATTCCCCTTTATCAATTGAGTGCAGACATGCTCAGATAACTCTGCAAGAAAAAACGGATAAGCTCCTCTCCCTCGTTCAGGGCCTGGATTTCAGAACTGAGATCAAGGTAACTTTAGGACTAAAGAGTTTTCAGATCAATGATTGATGGACAAGACTAAAATGCCATTTGTTTTAATTGTGTGCCAAGGCAAAGATTTAAAAAACGCTTCCTTACCAGACTTTTCACATCTAGCTTTGCATTGATGCAAAGTTGGGAAGTTGTTTTGATTCCCTTCACATCCACCGTAAATGAATGACTCACATTTCTCAGTTGCTGCATTGAAATAAAAATGCTGAAACGAAGCTTTGCACCATCCTACATCTTTGGGAAGTTGACATATATCAAGAGATATACCTGAAGAAGAAAATAAAACAGACGGTCCCTATTAAGGAAACTCTGAAGATCATTGCATGAAAATAGACTGTGTTCTGACTCCAGAGGGCAGGGAAACATGTATATTTGAGCATTTACTGGAAAAGTAGATCCTGAGAAATTCTCTCCAAACCTCAGAGAAACCACTTTGACTACCCTAACATGGTTAAAAAAAACTCTCAATTTTGACTCATTGCCAATTGTCGTTTGAAGGAACTGAAATACAATTTGGCCAATGCAAGCACTCTATCCCTAAGAAGAGGCACTGAGCATCCAGGACCCTGTTGGCAAGATCCCAGTCTTCTGGGACGGGCTAAGAAAGTCATCAGGGAGAGCATTCTTTCATTTGCTTGAGGTTTAGGGCTTGTATTCCAGCAGACTGAAGGATAAATGTCTTCTGGAGCTGGGGATTCAAGCTGGGAAGTGGAGGGATGGTTCAGCCATTCCCTTTCCTCCTCTTCTCAAGACTTCATATGTATCTTTTCTTCATCCAAGTTTTAAGTATTTGTGGCATCTTCTTAGGGTGGGAAAATTCAAATGTTATTTATATTCTGGTTCCAAAATACATTGCTCTGCATCTGTTGTCCTTATTGATATATAAAAACAGTAGCTGTAGGTTTTAGGAAGAATTTTTAGTTTGTAAGAAAGCGAATACAAGGAAATGCAAGAAAGCCTCTACTCAGATTTAATTTAGCCTTTTTGTATTGTGTTAAGATCTCCAGTTCCCCAATATTTGAATAATGCTCGCATCCTTAAATGGTTACCCCAGATTTAAGAACTTACTGGGAATGCTGCAAAAAAGGAAGATTTATTTTGTGGCTTTTGGATGATCCATTCCAGAAGAGGGCTTTCTAAAATCACTATCATATTCTGGACTATAGAATATAGTCCAGGCCATGGTTTTCCCAGTTGCAATGTATGGCTGTGAAAGTTGGACCATAAGAAAGGCTGAGCTCAAAAGAATTGAGGCCTTTGAACTATGGTGCTGGAGAAGACTCCTGCGAGTCCCTTGGACTGCAAGGCGTTCAAACCGGTCAGTCCTAGAAGAGATCAACCCCGACTGCTCTTTAGAAGGCCAGATCCTGAAGTTGAAACTCAAGTACTGTGGCCACCTAATGAGAAGGAAGGACTCACTGGAGAAGAGTCTAATGCTGGGAAAGATGGAGGGCAAGAGAAGAAGGGGATGACAAAGAATGAGATGGCTGGATGGAGTCACTGAAGCAGTAGGTGTGAATTTAAATGGACTCCAGAAGATGGCAGAGGACAGGAAGGCCTGGAGGAACGTTGTCCATGGGGTCGTGATGGGTCGGACACGACTTCACAATTAACAACAACAACAATCATATTCTGGGGGAGGAACCTCCATCATCAAGTCTATTGTTAATGCGATCATATTTTGGAATGGGAGGGAGCATTTGCAAGCAGATTGCACATAGGTGTGGACGGAAAAAAAGAAAGATCTACCTGTATACAGAAAGCAGAAAATGAGCAGTCCAAAAATAAGGAACATGTAGTTTGAATGCATCATGGTAGTGAAAATATCAGTGGCTGCGTTGAGCTATTTTATAGATTGCTCAATAGGGAAGTAGTCCTGGTCATTCATGTAGTAGGAACGAGGAGGTCATATCTATGGCCCCTGTGTACAGTTTCACCGGTCATCCATAAACAGTGCTATATAGAGTGTAGCAAATGAGTAAGGAATTGTACCCTAATTAAATTGAAGGAATGAGGAAAGTGATAAAAAGGAAAGAGCTTTGCACTACCTCTCTGTATCTTTCTATCCTTGTAAACCACCATTGTTTTTACCATCTCCATACTTTGCTGTGCATTTCCACCATAAACGTTCTCATTCCTTTCTTTCCAGACTTGCATCCAATCCAAGCATGATACTCTAAATCTTGGCCTTCTTCATGAACCATTCGCTTTTTCTTCATGCATTGATTTTGCAATTCTGTTCCCATTAATTTGCTCTACTTGACTGAACCACTTTAATTCACTTTTGTATTCATTACATCCCACTAACTCTTGAACCCTGTTCCTACTTGCTTTACCGCACAAATAGTTTACGCATCCCTTTTCCCTGCCTTTAGCATCCTGTGGTGTTCCTGATGAGCTTCACGACTTTCAGTTCCATATAAGAAAGTAGGCAAAAGCACACTCTTATACTATACCACCAATTTTTTCTTACTTCGTGATATACAGTTAAGCACAAACTTCCATCCATCTTTCTATCAGCATTTCAATATGTTAACATTTCAATATGCATCACCCCATTTTTACTACACATTTTACCACGTCTTATGGCCAGCTCAGCCTCTGATGAGGAGACCAAGCTGCTGCAAGATCACAAGGGTATCCCTAAATCATCTCAGTGAGACAGCCATTCCAGGAATCTGATGGTGTACTTCACATCTTTTATATTTCCTCCTGCTTGGACTTTTGCTTTTCCTCAAGCTCCCTCCACCCCAGAGATGAACTCTTCCTACTCGTCTTGATTAAAGCCTAAGGACAGGTGTGTTCAGATGTTGGTCATAAAAGCAGCATACCAATTGTGGAACTGCACATCCATTTCTGTCTCCCAGAGCATTGCATGTGCCAAATTTGTTGAAAATATCTGCAAAGACATTCCCACAGATGGATTTCTTATCTCTCTGTGTCTTTTTTTTAAAGTTTTTTTATTAATAAAACAGTTAAACAAAAAAGGACATAACGTGTCGTTCCAGTATATATAATCCTAACAATTTGTTCCTTGTCATACTTACAATCCTAATCTCTATGTATACATATTTTCCTATATAATACAGTCTCAAATTTGTTTCTCTATATACTAGCATACAGTTTTATATACCACAATCTTAACACTAACTTAAAGTCCAAATAGTTCTCCTTGACTCGTACCAGCAATAAAATTTGTCCCAGATTTCAAAATAGTCCATTTCTGTCTTGTCCTTTAATTCCATAGTAAGCCTATCCATATCAGCACACGATAAGATTTTATGTAGAATCTCTTCTTCTGTTGGAATTTCTTTATTTCTCCAGTTTGGTGCGTAAGCCAATCTGGCAGCCGTGAAGATATGTAACATTAAGTAAAGTATGTATCTCTGGTCATGTATTGCAGGGAATAGCTTTCTACATTCACCCTTATAATTGGGAAAGGGGGAGCTTTCTATTGTCTATTCGATGTAATATCATCATTCTTGGATGTGGAGGGAGTCCAGGTTTGGTGGATACACCCAATTGTGTGTGCAGTTGGAAAATATATTTGGGTGAGAGGCATCCTGAAACCACAATGTGAACAAATCTGAATGAGCAGACAGTGACATATGTTGTGCGGTTGAAAATAACTGTCCCGTACTCAGTCAACCCATTTTTAATATTGCACCATGAGGAAATACAGCCAGATATTCATGCAGTTGGAACCATGAGATGATGTGTAGGGACCTCAAGTACACTTCTCCCATAATTACATAATGTACCCTTCATTCTGTATAGAAATACTCTATTTAATAATTTGAAGTCATCTTGAAAGAGATAGAAAAAGAATTATTTACTACTTTTACAACCTTAGACATACATCAGTCATTCTCACCATCCTCCAAAGGGCTAACTGACGGTATGAGGCTAAGGAAATATTCCTGCCAGGCCTAATGCTCAGTGTTCTCTTGTACAAAAAACACATTTCAATATTCCCTGTATCTGATATATTCACAGAATGCTCTGTTTTGCGGTGTCTGGCTTGCAATGACTGAATAAAAGGAGCATTGCAAATAATAGTCAAGAGAGAGAATGTTCAAAGCATGTGTATGTTTATTTAAGAGTATGCTTAGAATCAGATGCATGCAAGGTGTTTCAGTGGGAGACTCCATGGAAGTTTGGATTCCTTTCGCAGCTGCTGGATCCACCCCGTCTCTCAAAGGGTCCCATCAGTGAGATCTGGAATTGGAGTCCATGTTACCCTGGAAAAGGAGACAGAATGAAAATCAAGTGGTCAGCAGGAGAAGAGGCAAGTATATCTTTAGATCCTTAGTCTGCTCCACTTCGTAGAACAACCATCTCCTCAGTGTGAATATTCAACATTGGCAGAATAATGTAGGAACTTTAGTGTGTTTTCTGTCTAATTACAGGTGCCTCCATTGTTTCTTTTATTAACTTTTTTATTAACAATGTGACCTCCTGATGTAATATATGATGCCATATTTCCCAGTAGGAAAGAATGGTCCCAATGAAATTCTCAAAAGTGAATAATTAGAAAAAAAAAAGTCCCAGTCTACAATCAAGTGAAAGTCTCACATCAAACCCTGCACGGAAATTCATTGCCAGTTCGATGCAGAATAGTAGCATTTTTCCAGAAAACATTTTCATGCCTTAATAGTGCATAATACTGTGCAGAAATGCTCACATAACTCTTTGCAAGTAAAACAGTAAAAACAAGAAAGCTACCTTTATGGCACTTCTTTAGGAAATTTATTTTTGCATTGTTACCATTTTAAAAGATGTCTTGATTTTGCTGATTGCGCCCACTGATAAGCTCCTCTCGCTAGTTCAGGGACTGGATTGCGGAACTGAGATCAAGGCAACTTTAGGACTAAAGAGTTTTCAGATCATTGACTGACAGACAAGACTGAAATGCCATTTCTTTTAATTAAACAATTAAAATTGCTTCCTTACCAGACCTTTGACATCTAGCTCTGCATTCAGCCATAGATGCGAAGTTGTTTGCATTCCCTCCACAACCACCATAAACGAATTCCTCACAGTTCCCAGTTGCTGCGTTGAAATAAAAACGAGGAAATGAAGCTTTGCACCGTCCTACTTCTCTGGGAAGTCGACATATATCTGGAGATACAGGTGAAAGTGAAAAGAAGAAAATGAGACAGACTGTCCCTCTTAAGGAAACCCAGAAGATCACTGCATGACTCCAGAGTGAAGAGCAACATGAATACTTCAGAATCTACTGGAAAAGACGACAAGAGAAATGCTCCCAAAACTCCAGAGAAAGTGAAGACACGTTTCCTGCCTTACCATAGCGAGAAAACTCCATTTTGAGTCTTTGCCAATTGCCATTGGAAGCCCTTCTACCAAGTGAAGTGCAGCCTGGACAATGCCAGCTTCTCCACCCCCAAGAAGAGGCCCAGAGCTTCCAGACTCCCATTCCTGAGATCCCAGACTTCCGGGATGGACCGAGACAGTCATCTGGGAGGGCCCTCCTTCCATCTGCTCGTATTCCAGGGGACTGAAAGAGAAAGCCCTTCTGGAGGTGGGCATTCAACCCTGGGGGGGGGGGAGAGACACCTGGGAGTTGGGAGTGGGGTGGGCCTCTTCCAAAGACTTCACACAGGAGCCCCCTTTCACCCATGTTTATATCTTTGTAGTATTCGCTTAGGGAAAATTCATATGTTGCTCCTATTGGAGTGCCCAAATACATTGCTCTGCATCTGTTACTCCTTGTTGAAGTACAAAAAATGGTAGGAAGAATATCTTCTTTGTAGAAAAGCTGATGCAAGGAAATACAAGAAAGCTTTTACTCGGATTTAGTTCTGCTTTTTTATACTCTATCAGGTTCTCGGATTCCCTAAAATGCTCACATCCCATAATGGTTACCACCGAACTAAAAACATTGAGGTTGACTCAACCCAAGGTTTTCTCAGCCTTCCATCCTTCTGAGGTTGGTAAATGAGGACTTATATTGTTGGGAGCAATATGCTGACTCTGGAAGCAACTCAGAGAGTGCTGCAAAAGTATGGTGGAGCGGTTTATAAGCACTATTGTTATAGGAAGTGACTGAAATACTGCAGAAAAAGAACTTTTATTCTGTGTCTCTTGGATGATCCATTCCAGGAAACAACTTCCTAAATTCAATATCATATTCTGGGGGATCCTCCACCATCTGGTCTGTTCTTCCTGTGATCCTATCCTGGAAGAGAAAGGGGCAGTTGCAAGCAGATTGCAGGTAGGAGGGAAAAGAAAGGTGATATCTACCTACCTGTAGAAGAGGCATCCTGAAAGCAGAAAATCAGCAGTCCAAAAGTGAGGAGCATGTAGTTGAAATGCATCATTGTGATGAAAACAAGTATCCGATGTTGAATTGAGCCATTTTATATATTTTCCAACAGGGAAGTAGACCTGGGCATTCATGTGGTTGGAACACCAAGGCTCAGTTCCCCAAAATCTGATTAATGCTCATATTATTCACAAAGTGGTTACTCCAAGAACCAACAGGGAATACTGTAGAACAGTGAGTACTATTAGGGGGAAATCCTTTTTTTAGAAATTTATTGACTTCTAAAGTCAATCGCTCGTTCATGTAATTGGAACACCAAGGTCATATATCAGAACCCTGACTACAGTTCCATTGGTCATATAGAGCATAGCAAATGAGTAAAGAATTGTATGCTAATTCAATTGAATCCATGAGGAAAGAGATAAAAAGGAAAAAAAAACTAGGATGACTGTGCACTACCTCCCTTCACTCTCCCTATCTTTCTATCCTTGCGAGTCAACTTTGTTTTTACCACCTCCATACTCTGCTGTGTATTTACACAATAAAAGCATCTCATCTCTTTCTTTCCAGACTGTCGTCTAATCCAACCTTGACTCCAACTCTTTGCCTTCCTTATGAACCCCTTGCGTTGTCTTCATTTGTTTGCTTTGCACTTTGATTCCCATTTATTTACTCTAGCAGACTGAATCACTTTCATTCACTTTTGTGTTCATGATGGCCCACAAACTCTTCATCCTGTCCCTTCTTGCCCTACCACAAAAATACTTTAGGTACTTTAGCTTTTTGGGGTGCCGGGCTTCCCAAGTTTTAGTTCCATATAACAAAATAGGCAAAAGCACCTCTTACACAGTCACTTCCTCTTATTTCGTGACATACAGTCAAGCACAAAGCACCGTCCATCTTTCTACCAGCCTTTGAAGATGATAAAATTTCAATGTGCGTTATCTCCTCTTTAGTACACAGTTTACCAAGTCTCATGTCCAGCTCGGCGTCTGTTGAGATCAGCAATGAGCATCAATTCTAGCGTACCTGGATGATCTGTTGCCTGAGATGCTGCAGGTTGAAGAAGTTGTGCCGTCCAGCAACCAGGAGAACTACTAGTGGTAGTGCTGCTGCTGCTACTACTACTCCTCTCTGAAGAGAAGGCATTGGAGCAAGGGGTCACCACTGGCAGAGCACAGTAGAGCAAGAACATCCTGCAAGGCTCCTCGCGAGAAAGGAACCTCATTCTTCCCAATAAGCAACCCTGGGGCTGCTTCTTTTTAAAAAGAGCAGTGAGCTCAATTCTCTCCATTGGCGACAACCGATTGTTTACCCAGACTCCATGTGCCTGGCCTCCTAATGTGAAACCTTGTGGCTTTGACTCTGGCCTGATGTAAGCCTCCCAAGTCAGCCCGACAAGAAAAAGAGTCAGCTTATTCTACTTTATTGTAAGGCTGCGTTAAGAGAATCTTGCAAGTCTAAAAGTACAATTCTCCCACCGTCTCATTTTAACCCCCTGATAATTTAGGATGAATCTCCTCTAAGTTACTTTCTCTGCCCGTTATTCAGTTATGCTTCCCCTTGCTTTTATCTCATCCTAAGCTAGGAAGCACTTCTTCCCCTGATTTCCCAATCACCATTCACATGTACTGTTACATCACCCTCATTCCCCTTCTCCCAAATTCCAAGGAGAAACTGATTATGTGAGAATGAAATTTTATTATTTGTAGTTATTTGTTTTTGTGTTTAATTTCTACAGCAGTCCACCTCAATTAGGTGAGTCTGGGCTGAGAAGTCTTCTAAAATGTATGTGTGTAGTTCCCCTCCTCTACCTGGTAAATGCTCAAGATCACAAGTGATATCCAAAATTCTCTCCTCCAGTTTACGTGACAGCTGCCCCTCCACTGGGAATCTGTTGGTCTCAGTCATATCTTGCATTCCTAATGTTGAAGGATCAGATTTATTTCCCATTACTTGGTCTCTTGCTCTTTCTGAGGCTCCCTCCACCCCTAGAGATGAACTCTTCCTGTTTGTCTTGATTAACGCCTAATTCCTGCAAGGCCAGTAGTAGCCAAGGACAGGTAAATTTGGATATTGGTCCTGAAAGCAGTATACCAATTATGCAACTGTGTGTCCCTTCCTGCCTCCCAGAGCACTCCATCTCCTCAATTCGTTTAAAAGATCTGCAAGGCCGTTCTTACAGATGTATTCCCTCCGTTCCTGTGTCTTTTATATACTTATCTCACCTTGTACCATTTCTCCATGACGTTTTAGTCCTTTGAAAAGTTCAGTTTCTTTTGTTGTTCTTAAATGTTTGGTTTTTGAATTTAAGAACTTCTTTATATGTTTATATATTTCAGTTAGAAATAATAAACAATATAAGGAAGAAAGCAGGAGTGCAATGGATCTGCAGATTCAATGTTATTGTAACCCTCCCACCCATTGTAATAATGTCAAGTGGGAGAAAAAAGGGAGGGAGAGGGAGAGGGAGAGAAGGAGAGAGCGAGGGAAGGAAGGAAAGAAGAAAAGAAGGAAGGAAGGAAGGAGGGAAGGAAGGAAGGAAGGAAGGAAGGAAGGAAGGAAGGAAGGAAGGAAGGAAGGAAGGAAGGAAAGGTTTGTCTATTGGTTTAGTTAAACCTTTTTCCATCGGAAACACCAGCTTCCCAAAAATTGAGTCATCCACTCATCTCAAAAAGATGTCCTTATTTTTCATTGACCTAAATGCCTTTCACGAAGCAGGAGTGCAATGGATCTGCAGATTCAATGTTATTGTAACCCTCCCACCCATTGTAATAATGTCAAGTGGGAGAAAAAAGGGAGGGAGAGGGAGAGGGAGGGAAGGAGAGAGGGAGGGAAGGAAGGAAAGAAGAAAGGAAGGAAGGAAGGAAGGAAGGAAGGAAGGAAGGAAGGAAGGAAGGAAGGAAGGAAGGAAGGAAAGGTTTGTCTATTGGTTTAGTTAAACCTTTTTCCATCAGAAACACCAGCTTCCCCAAAATTGAGTCATCCACTCATCTCAAAAAGATGTCCTTATTGTTCATTGACCTAAATGCCTTTCATGAAAATGGAACAGTCTTCCGAGCATTCTCCATATTTATCCCATGTTTCCATGCTTATCCCAAAACTAAGAGAAGACTGGGAATAAAGAAAAAAAGGAAGTGCTATTTTATGTATCTCTGGTCATGTGTTGCAGGAATTAGCACATCCAATTGTGTGGGCAGTTGGAAAATATATTTGGGTGAGAGGCATCCTGAAACCACAAAGTGAACAAGTCTGAATGAGCAGACAGTGAAATATGTTGTGCGGTTGAAAATAACTGTCCCGTGCTCAGTCAAGCCATTTTTAATATTGCACCATGAGGAAGTACAGCCAGATATTCATGCAGTTGGAACCATGAGATGATGTGTAGGGACCTCAAGTACACTTCTCCCATAACTATAGAATGTACCCTTCATTCTGTATAGAAATACTCTATTTAATAATTTGAAGTCATCTTGAAAGAGATAGAAAAAGAATTATTTACTACTTTTACCACCTTAGACATACATCAGTCATTCTCACCATTCTCCAAAGGGATAACTGAGGGTATGAGGCTAAGGAAATATTCCTGCCAGGCCTAATGCTCAGTGTTCTCTTGTACAAAAAACACATTTCAATATTCCCTGTATCTGATATATTCACAGAATGCTCTGTTTTGGGGTGTCTGGCCTGCAATGACTGAATAAAAGGAGCATTGCAAATCATAGTCAAGAGAGAGACTGTTCAAAGCATGTGTATGTTTATTTAAGAGTATGCTTAGAATCAGATGCATGCAAGGTGTTTCAGTGGGAGACTCCATGGAACTTTGGATTCCTTTCGCAGCTGCTGGATCCACCCCGTCTCTCAAAGGGTCCCATCAGTGTGATCTGGAATTGGAGTCCATGTTACCCTGGAAAAGGAGACAGAATGAAAATCAAGTGGTCAGCAGGAGAAGAGGCAAGTATATCATTAGATCCTTAGTCTGCTCTACTTCGTAGAACAACCATCTCCTCAGTGTGAATATTCAACATTGGCAGAATAATGTAGGAACTTTAGTGTGTTTTCTGTCTAATTACAGGTGCCTCCATTGTTTCTTTTATTAACTTTTTTATTAACAATGTGACCTCCTGATGTAATATATGATGCCATATTTCCCAGTAGGAAAGAATGGTCCCAATTAAATTCTCAAAAGTGAAGAATTAGAAAAAAAAGTCCCAGTCTACAGTCAAGTGAAAGTCTCACATCAAACCCTGCAGGAAAATTTATTGCCAGTTGGATGCAGAATAGTAGCATTTTTCCAGAAAACATTTTCATGCCTTAATAGTACATAATACATTTTCTTTCATGAAGCATTGCAAGACAGTCTGGACAAACAAAGGGATCTCCAGGCATTGCACGTGTTAGAAGTGACTTTTCCTGTGAGGAATCTATAATTGTCATTGATTTTTCAGTATTTTGCTTAATTCAAATGTGATTCTTCTTTATCAATTGAGGGCAGAAATGCTCACATAACTCTCTGCAAGTAAACCAGTAAAAACAAGAAAGCTACTTTATGGCACTTCTTTAGGAAAATTCTTTTTGCATTATTACCATTTTAAAAGATGTCTTGATTTTGCTGATTGCGCCCACTGATAAGCTCCTCTCGCTAGTTCAGGGCCTGGATTGCGGAACTGAGATCAAGGCAACTTTAGGACTAAAGAGTTTTCAGATCAATGACTGACAGACAAGACTGAAATGCCATTTCTTTTAATTAAACAATTAAAATTGCTTCGTTACCAGACCTTTGACATCTAGCTCTGCATTCAACCCAAGTTGCGAAGTTGTTTGCATTCCCTCTACATCCACCATAAATGAAGTTCTCACAGGTCCCAGTTGCTGCGTTGAAATAAAAACGAGGAAATGAAGCTTTGCACCATCCTGTTTCTTTGGGAAGTGTACATATATCTGGAGATACAGGTGAAAGTGAAAAGAAGACAATGAGACAGACTGTCCCTCTTAAGGAAACCCAGAAGATCACTGCATGACTCCAGAGTGAAGAGCAACATGAATATTTCAGAATCTATTGGAAAAGACGACAAGAGAAATGCTCCCAAAACTCCAGAGAAAGTGAAGACACGTTTCCCGCCTTACCATAGTGAGAAAACTCCATTTTGCGCCTTTGCCAATTGCCATTGGAAGCCCTTCTACCAAGTGAGTGCAGCCTGGACAATGCCAGCTTCTCCACCCCCAAGAAGAGGCCCAGAGCTTCCAGACTCCCATTCCTGAGATCCCAGACTTCCGGGATGGACCGAGACAGTCATCCGGGAGGGCCCTCCTTCCATCTGCTTGTATTCCAGGGGACTGAAAGAGAAAGCCCTTCTGGAGGTGGGCATTCAACCCTGGGGGGGGGAGAGACACCTGGAAGTTGGGAGTGGGGTGGGCCTCTTCCAAAGACTTCACACAGGAACCCCCTTTCACCCATGTTTATATCTTTGCAGTATTCGCTTAGGGAAAATTCATATGTTGCTCCTATTGGAGTGCCCAAATACATTGCTCTGCATCTGTTACTCCTTGTTGAAGTACAAAAAATAGTAGGAAGAATATCTTCTTCGTAGAAAAGCTGGTGCAAGGAAATACAAGAAAGCTTTTACTCGGATTTAGTTTTGCTTTTTTATACTCTATCAGGTTCTCGGATTCCCTAAAATGCTCACATCCCATAATGGTTACCACCGAACTAAAAACGTTGAGGTTGACTCAACCCAAGATTTTCTCAGCCTTCCATCCTTCTGAGGTTGGTAAATGAGGACTTATATTGTTGGGGGCAATATGCTGACTCTGGAAGCAACTCTGAGAGTGCTGCAAAAGTATGGTGGAGCGGTTTATAAGTGCTATTGTTATAGGAAGTGACTGAAATACTGCAGAAAAGGGACTTTTATTCTGTGTCTCTTGGATGATCCATTCCAGGAAACAACTGCCTAAATTCAATATCATATTCTGGGGGCTCCTCCACCATCAGGGGGGCTCCTCCACCATATTTACCGCAAGCAAGTGAGCTGGGCAGGAGCCAAGGATCAGGAACCCTGTTCTCCGGCTCCTGTCCAGCTCCCTTGCTTGCGGAAAACATGGTTCTTGCTAAGTGAAACCCCAGTATCAGTGCCAGGCTACAGCTGAGCTGTGCTTTAGCTGTATCAGCTGTAGCCCTGTGCTGATCCTAGGGCTTCGCTTAGCAAGCAGTATGTTTTCTGCAAGCAAGTGAGATGCGCAGGAACCCAGGATCGCTGTGTGCAGCTACAGTTGATCCACGCTTCTCTGCACTGTTTTGCTGTTTTTTGCAAAGTTGCCCCAGGTCGGTGGACAAGCCACCGGTCTCCCCGCTGCAAGCATGGGACGCACCGGAGCTCCTGATGAACCATGTTTAAGAGAGAGAGAGAGAGAGAGAGAGAGAGAGAGAGAGTCAAGCTTGACCTGCTTGGCTGTTTCTGCTTTTCCTTGCAACTTGGAAGAATAATAGTAATACTAAGAGGAAAGGTTCTTTCATGATTTCCAGATGTTTCCTCCCTGTCCCCTCCCCACCCCATCCCAAGAAGTAGTATTTGTAGTTTGGACTAGCAGGTTGCTAGTTTGCTCTCCTCCTTTGCTCGTGGGATGCGCACGCTTCCCTTTGCAAAAGATGGAGCCCCCACGGTTTTGCATTGCAAGATTACTTTGCCCGAGCGAAGGGAGACTTGGCGGCGATGCGAGTTTGTCTCCCTTCCTTTGGAGGAGGGAGAAAAGCGTTGCTCGCTTCGTTCAGGCGGGTGCAAGTTAACTTGAGAACGGTAGCAATGCGGTCAGAAATGGGCATCTCTCAAAAGGGCTGGGGAGAGCTATGGGAAGAACGATGTACACGGAGAGGATCAGGGAACCTGGCTTGAATATTGGGCTCCGGTAGGGGAAAAGTGACTGGGAGAAGTAGCCGGTTCGTTAATGTACGTGCCTGAAAACAGGAGATGGGCAGGTTGTGTGAGGTGCACCGGTTGGGGAGAAACCTAGAATAGGAGGGCCTGGCTTCTAGTAGAGCACCTGCTTTGCTTGGTTTTGGTAGACAAAAGAAAAAGGAAGTGCAATTTTATGTATCTCTGCTCATGTATTGCAGGGAATAGCTTTCTACATTCACCCTTATAATTGGCAAAGGGGAAGCTTTCCTCTGTCTATTCCAGTGGTTCTCAACCTTTTTAATGCCGCGACCCCCCAACCAGTCGTAAGTTGAGGACTACTCAACCGGTCGTAAGTCGAGGACTACTCAACTGGTGCAGCACCGTTTGCAGAATGGACAATTCCTATTGGCTTTTGAAAGCCAATAGAATTAGACTCTATTCAAGAGAGTCTATTCTATTGGCTTTCAAAAGCCAATAGAATAAAAGGGAGTAGCACAGCTAAGGAAAAGGGGAAAAAAATGGCGGATCGCGTTGTTAGGCGACCCCCGTGAAATGGTCGTTCGACCCCAAATGGGGTCCCGACCCACAGGTTGAGAACCACTGGTCTATTCGATGTATATCTTCATTCTTGGGTGTGGAGGGAGTCCAGGTTTGGTAGGTACATCCAAATGTGTGTGCAGTTGGAAAATATATTTGGGTGAGAGGCATTCTGAAACCACAAAATGAACAACTCTGAATGAGCAGGCAGTGAAATACGTTGTGCAGTTGAAAATAACTGTCCCATACTCAGTCAAGCCACTTTTAATATTGCATCATGAGGAAATACAGCCAGACATTCATGCAGTTGGAACCATGAGATGATATGTAGGGACCTCAAGAACAGTTCTCCTATAACTACAGAACGTACCCTTCATTCTGTATAGGTAGTACTACATAGAATATAGCAAAGAGTAAGAAATAGTCTATTTAATAATTTGAAGTCATCTTGAAAGAGATAGAAAAAGAATTATTTACTACTTTTACAACCTTAGACATACACCGGTCATTCTACCATCATCATCCAAAGGGCTAACTAATGATATGAGGCTAAGGAAATATTCCTTAGCACTTTTCTAGAAAACATTTTCATGCTTTAATAGTATATAATACATTTTGTTTCATGAAGCATTGCAAGGCACTCTGGACACACAGGGGGTCTCCAGGAATTACATGTGTTAGAAGTAACTTTTCCAGTGAGGAATATACAATTTTCTTTGATTTTTCAGTATTTTGCTTAATTCAAATGTGATTCCCCTTTATCAGTTGAGTGCAGAAATGCTCACATAACTCTTTGCAAGTAAAACAGTAAAAACAAGAAAGCTACCTTTATGGCACTTCTTTAGGAAAATTCTTTTTGCATTATTACCATTTTAAAAGATGTCTTGATTTTGCTGATTGCGCCCACTGATAAGTTCCTCTCGCTAATTCAGGGCCTGGATTGCAGAACTAAGATCAAGGCAACTTTAGGACTAAAGAGTTTTCAGATCAATGATTTACAGACAAGGCTGAAATGCTGTTCATTTTAATTGTGTGCCAAGGCAAAGATTAAATTTTTTTCCTTACCAGACATTCCACATCTAGTTTTGCATTGATCCAAAGTTACAAAGTTGTTTTTATTTCCTCTACATCCACCATAAATGAATTCCTCACAGTTCCCAGTTGCTGTGTTGAAATAAAAACGAGGAAATGAAGCTTTGCACCATCCTACTTCTCTGGGAAGTTGACATATATCTGGAGATACAGGTGAAAGTGAAAAGAAGAAAATGAGACAGACTGTCCCTCTTAAGGAAACCCAAAAGATCACTGCATGACTCCAGAGTGAAGAGCAACATGAATATTTCAGAATCTATTGGAAAAGACGACAAGAGAAATGCTCCCAAAACTCCAGAGAAAGTGAAGACACGTTTCCCGCCTTACCATAGCGAGAAAACTCCATTTTGAGTCTTTGCCAATTGCCATTGGAAGCCCTTCTACCAAGTGAAGTGCAGCCTGGACAATGCCAGCTTCTCCACCCCCAAGAAGAGGCCCAGAGCTTCCAGACTCCCATTCCTGAGATCCCAGACTTCCGGGATGGACCGAGACAGTCATCCGGGAGGGCCCATCTGCTCGTATTCCAGGGGACTGAAAGAGAAAGCCCTTCTGGAGGTGGGCATTCAACCCTGGGGGGGGGAGAGACACCTGGAAGTTGGGAGTGGGGTGGGCCTCTTCCAAAGACTTCACACAGGAACCCCCTTTCACCCATGTTTATATCTTTGTAGTATTCGCTTAGGGAAAATTCATATGTTGCTCCTATTGGAGTGCCCAAATACATTGCTCTGCATCTGTTACTCCTTGTTGAAGTACAAAAAATGGTAGGAAGAATATCTTCTTTGTAGAAAAGCTGATGCAAGGAAATACAAGAAAGCTTTTACTCGGATTTAGTTCTGCTTTTTTATACTCTGTCAGAGTGCAGTTCTGCAGGCCACTTTAGCTGACTGTGTTCAGCAGGTGAGCGGTTCAAATCTCACCGGCTCAAGGTTGACTCAGCCTTCCATCCTTCCGAGGTAGGTAAAATGAGGACCCAGATTGTTGGGGGCAATGTAAAATATATATATACATTGCTTACTGAGTGCTTAGAGAGTGCTTGCACTTAAAGCGGTATATAAGTCTCATAAATAAATACTCTGTCAGGTTCTCGGATTCCCTAAAATGCTCACATCCCATAATGGTTACCACTGAACTAAAAACGTTGAGGTTGACTCAACCCAAGGTTTTCTCAGCCTTCCATCCTTCTGAGGTTGGTGAATGAGGACTTATATTGTTGGGAGCAATATGCTGACTCTGGAAGCAGCTCAGAGAGTGCTGCAAAAGTATGTGGAACGGTTTATAAGCGCTATTGTTATAGGAAGTGACTGAAATACTGCAGAAAAGGGACTTTTATTCTGTGTCTCTTGGATGATCCATTCCAGGAAACAACTTCCTAAATTCAATATCATATTCTGGGGGATCCTCCACCATCTGGTCTGTTCTTCCTGTGATCCTATCCTGGAAGAGGAAGGGGCAGTTGCAAGCAGATTGCAGGTAGGAGGGAAAAGAAAGGTGATATCTACCTACCTGTAGAAGAGGCATCCTGAAAGCAGAAAATCAGCAGTCCAAAAGTGAGGAGCATGTGCATTATTGTGATGAAAACAAGTATCCGATGTTGAATTGAGCCATTTTATAGATTATCCAACAGGGAAGTAGACCTGGGCATTCACGTGGTTGGAACACCAAGGCTCAGTTCCCCAAAATCTGATTAATGCTCATATTATTCACAAAATGGTTACTCCAAGGACCAACAGGTAATACTACAGAACGGTGAGTGTTATTAGGGGGAAATCCTTTTTTTAGAAGTTTATTGACTTCTAAAGTCAATTGCTCGTTCATGTAATTGGAACACCAAGGTCATATATCAGAACCCTGAGTACAGTTCCATTGGTCATACAGAGCATAGCAAATGAGTAAAGAATTGTACTCTAATTCAATTGAATCCATGAGGAAAGAGATAAAAAGGAAAAAAAACTAGGATGACTTTGCACTACCTCCCTTCACTCTCTTTCTATCCTTGCGAGTCAACTTTGTTTTTACCACCTTCATACTCTGCTATGTATTTACACAATAAAAGCATCTCATCTCTTTCTTTCCAGACTGTCGTCTAATCCAACCTTGACTCCAACTCTTTGCCTTCCTTATGAACCCCTTGCGTTGTCTTCATGTGTTTGCTTTGCACTTTGATTCCCATTTATTTACTCTAGCAGACTGAATCACTTTCATTCACTTTTGTATTCATGATGGCCCACAAACTCTTCATCCTGTCCCTTCTTGCCCTACCACAAAAATACTTTAGGTACCTCTTTAACATTTTGGGGTGCCGGGCTTCCCAAGTTTTAGTTCCATATAACAAAATAGGCAAAAGCACCTCTTACACAGTCACTTCCTCTTATTTCGTGACATACAGTCAAGCACAAACCACCATCCATCTTTCTACCAGCCTTTGAAGATGATAACATTTCAATGTGCATTATCTCCTCTTTAGTACACAGTTTACCAAGTCTCATATCCAGCTCGGCGTCTATTGAGATCAGCAATGAGCATCAGTTCTAGCGTACCTGGATGATCTGTTGCCTGAGATGCTGCAGGTTGAAGACGTTGTGCTGTCCAGCAAGACGGAGACCCACCGGTGCTGCTGCTGCTGCTGCTGCTACTTTTGAAGAGGAGGAATTGGAGAAGGGCTCACCGCTGGCAGAGCAGAGCAGAGCAAGAACGTTCTGCAAGGCTCCTTGCGAGAAAGGAACCTCATTCTTCCCAATAAGCAACCCTGGGGCTGCTTCTATTTAAGAAGAGCAGTGAGCTGAAGCCTCTCCATTGGCAACAACCAATTGTTTACCCAGACTCTGTGTCCCTTTTTCTGATCTGAAACCATGTGACTTTGACTCTGGCCTAAGCCACAGAAATAAACCAGAACGGAGAAATAGTGAATTTATTGTACTTTATTGTAAGGCTACCTTAAGAGGAACTTGTGAGTCTGAAAGTACAATTCTCCCACCGTCTCATTTTAACCACCTGATAAGTTAGAGTGAATCTCTTCTGAGTTTCTTTTTTCTGCCTATTATTCTGTTACGGGATCCCCCTGGCATTTATCTGATCCTTAGTTAGGAAGCAATTCTTTCTCTCATTTTCTAAGATCATTCCAATATACTATTACATCACCATCATTCCCCTTTTCGCAAATTCCCAGGGGAAACAAGTTGAGGGCTATGAAAAGGAAATTTTATCATTTTTATTTTTTTGTTTAATTTCTATAGCAGTCCATCTCAACTAATTGACTCTGGGCTGCAAACTCTTCTAAAATGTATGTGTGTTGTTCCATGCCCCCCCCCCAAATTCTCAAGGTCACTAGCAGTGTCCTTAAATTATCTCACCCCATTTATGTGACAGCTTCCCCCTCCCTCAGGAATCTGTGGTTCACACTCACATCTTGTATGCCTAGTGTGGAAGGAGCAGATGTATTTCCCGTTACTTGGTCTCTTGCTCTTCCTGAAGCTTCCTCCACCCCATAAATGAACTTTTCCTGCTTGTCTTGCTTAGCACTGATTCCTGCAAGGCCAGAAGTGGCCAGAGACAGGTTTGCAGGGATATTGTTTGTGACAGCATTGTAGCAATTATGGAACATGGACCTCCATTGCTGCCTTGTGTGATCTGACTGATTCTGGATAGTCTTTCCAGTGTATCAGGTATTTGACCCATTTGCTATTTGCCTATAGTGTAACACAACTTCCAACTCATATCTTCCTCTTTGTTTGTTAGAATGGGGAAGGGGAGTGGTCTGTGAACATAGAGTGCAAGGAGCAGCCACTTTCAAAAGGAAATGCCGATGCAATACACAGTGAACTTTCACTGAAGCTAACAAAAAGCTACTGGGTTGTTTCACTTAATTACTAGAAAACGACAATAAATTTTAAGAACAGTTTCTTGGAAGTTCTCATCGATGTTGTAAATTTGTAGAAAGCCACACCAAATCCCCTTCTGCAATTCTACGTGTTCTTGACTATGTACGTGTGCTGCTCTCTCATAGGTAGCCTTTGCTAGTTTGAACCATTCTATGAAGAGGCTTTGGGATCTGATTGTCACTCATGCACAGAATCGGTGTTGAGAGGGACTGTCCTTTCTTGTCTGGCTTTTGATAAGATGTGTGGGTGGAATACATATGTTGCCTGGAACAGGGCCATATTGACAGAGGAGGCTGCTGAATTTTTGTAAGCAAATTCAGCAAGAGGTATGAGATCCATCCAGTTGCCTTGCTTATAAGAAATACCGCATCTTACACATTCTGCAATAGTCTGTTAACCTTTCGGCTTGCCCGTTGCATGCTGGATGATGCATGGAAAACAAATGAATGTTAATATTCAGTAAATGCAAGGGGGCCTTCCAAAAATGACTTCCTCAGTCTGTTATTACATGATTAACCAATCCTCTATATTTGAAGACGGATCTGTAAAGAGTTGGTGCCGTCTCTTGGGACTTTGGAGTTCCTTTGCAAAGAACAAAATAGGTCAATTCAGAATTTATTCTTGTGATTATACACATAATATGACTTAGTAACTTATATATTCTAACAGGCAAACTGGCTTCTGAAAAAATCCAGTAGAAATTAAAGGCTTAGAAGCTTAGTCGCCTTTAGTAGGAAATTGTGATAGAAAGTATAAGTTCTGATTCTTAATTTTTCTAGAGCATGCTAGGAAGAGAGAAAATTGAGACTGTGTGCAAAGAGAAAGATTCTCCAGAACCCATGGAAGAGAGAAGTCATACGGTGATGGAACACAATTTAGAAGTTGTGGTGGTCACAGGAATAGAGTATAATTTGCTCATGGAGTAAAAGTGCCACAAAACATGTATTGTTTTGTCAGAAAGGTCTTATCCAAATTCTTAAAATTGTGTGAAGAGCAGGTTAAGTGCTTTTGGTTGGACAATGGGATTCTACTAGAGACAGATAGTCCTCGACTTAACAGCAGTTCATTTAGTACCCGTTCAAATTTACAACAGCACTGAAAAAAAGTGAGTTATGATTGTTTTTCACACTTACAGCCATTGCAGCATCCCCAGGGTCACGTGATCAAAATTCAGATGCTTGGCAACTGGCTCACATTTACGACGATTGCAATGTCCTGCTGTGATGTGGTAATCTTTTGTGACCTTCTGACAAACAAAGTCAGTGTGGAAGCCAGGTTCACTTAACCACCCTGATACTAACTTACCAACTGCACTTTACAACGGTGGCAAGAGAGATTGTAAAATGAGGCAAAACTCCTCACCAATGTTTCAGTTAGCAATAGCCATTGTGGACATAACTCGAGGACTATCTGTAATAATACAAGGATGGTGGTCAAAGGATCCTGTGTCTGTTTCTTTTTTTTCTGCACACTCAGAAAACAGTAGGAATCTGTTAGGTAACTGGCCTTGAAAAAGGATTCTCGTTAGAAGCATCACAATACAATTAACTCATCCAAGCGGTATGGTTCCGAGGCTAGCTGAAACTCTGCAGGGAATTCTTCAAAAGCAATTTGCGCTTACCTGGGTCTATACCGATTTACACTCCTGAACACAATCCTCATGACTTAAAAAGTTATTTCTGTTGCCATTGCAGCCACCAAACTTGAATGGTTTACAAATCTTGGTAGTGCAATCGTAGTAAAAGCGAGGAAAGCTTTCTTTGCATGGACCCACATCTAATGGTTGATCGCACGTCTGTAGCATGAACTCTAGAGATCCAGGAAGTTAAGCACAAGAGAGGGATGCTTATGAAAGTGTGCTTTTATGTAAAAATTTGAATGTTTTCTTCCATCTTCAACAAGGGAAACCATAGGCTTGACTCTTAACATTTTATTGACCTAGCAATAAAAAAATAACTATGCATAAATATATTCCCTACATTTCCAAATTTGCTATCTCATTCTCAAGTTTCTTAGTTTGGTGTTTCTGAGCAGACATTATTGCTGCAAAGTGGAGGGTGGTGTTGAAGTTTGAACATCTTTGAACATCTTTCCAGTATTCTGAAGTTGTCCTACCTTCCACATTTCCCCATCTGAAAAAAAAACTCCAAAAAAGCAGTTGTGCCTCCCTGAGATCTTCCCTTGGGATTTAATGGAAGCATGGGTTCAAACAATTTTGGATAAATCCAAACTTCCTGGAGCCAATGTAAAATGTATGAAGAAGTGAACCAAATACATAGAAAAATTACAAGCAAGAGATAGAAGGTCCAAGAGCATCATATATCTTAAAGGCCAAATGAGGTCCACAAGGGAGGTCTTACCTGGATAGAAATGTTTCATCTTATTTCCTACAGTAAGGACAAGAAAAATTATGTTATTTAAGGACACTTCCAGGTGACTATCCTTGCTATCTTCCAATTCTTTCCATTTTTTAAAAAAGTTCAGATTGACCACAACTCTTCTATTGTTTGAAGACATTGGGATGATATTAAGCATGAAGATGTTTGCACTTTACAAATCTAAAGAGGTTGAGCAGAACTGATAGTCAGCATTTGCCTGTCCCAAACCTGAACGATTATTACTACAGCTACTTTTGTTTAGCTTTAGCCCTCAACTGCATGTTAAAAATATATATCCCTTGCCACAATGACATGCATCAAATCAAGTTTTGCCTTAAATTCTGACCACTCTCTCCTTAGGCCCTTTATGCAGGTAGATCATTCTATCATCACAAGAAGATCCCCAGGGCTAAGAAAGGAAACAAGACAAATTGTCCTTTCCTGTCGAAGAATAGAAGACCCTTTAAATACAAGATAGTTGTTTGTTGCTACTATTGCTGATTCTGCAACAGCTTGAAACAGAATGGCCTCTTCAGTAGAATAGCATGACTGACATAAGGCTAATTCAAGAATGATCACAATGACAAGCACCCGTGAACACTTGCTGGGTCATGTGCTCAATGGGAAGACTCATCTCGCTATTGGAACTACATCACTGCCTAGAAACAACCTGGATTTCTTCAGTGGCAAGTAATGGTTAGAAGTCAAATTTCTGGGAAGACCAAGCTTTTTTCCTTCTTTTCTGTATTCCCATGACTTCCGTGTGGCCAAACATAAGCAAAATAGTTCAAGGAAATGATAATAAATTTCTTAGTGGTTGCTTTTCTTGCTGCTTTGTCATTAAAGGACTAATCTCCTTGATTAGTTTCCACCCATTGTTTCTTTTCCTGCCTTCCGATGCTCTGGAGCAGGGGCTCCAACCTTGGCAACTTTAAGACTTGTGGACTTCAACTCCCAGAATTCTTCAGCCAGCTTGGCTGGCTGAGGAATTCTGGGAGTTGAAGTCCACAAGTCTTAAAGTTGCCAAGATTGGAGACCTCTGCTCTGGAGAATAGGTTGAACCCCCCCCCCTTCTTTCTGGCAGCCCCTCAAATATTGGAACACTGCTATCATTCGACTAGACATACCCAATTCCAGCAACCATCCTTCATATGCTTTAGTCTCCAGTCCTCTAATCATCTTAGTTGCTTTTCTCTGTACTCTTTCTAGATGTCTCAGCACCTTTATTATATCGTGACAACCAATTAATTAATTAATTCTGGAGGGGATATAAAATTGTGTCGACATACCAAACATGTCACAGGCCATGTTGCAGTCGTTGAAGGTCCGAAAGTTGTTTGCATTTCCTCCACAGCCACCATAAGTAAACAATCGGCATCTCTTGTTGAAGGCATCATAATAATAACGAGTAATTTTACCCTTGCACCTTCCTTTCCTGGCCCTCAATTTGCATTCCCGAGGTATTTCTGAAAGAAAAACAGCAATATTGGAAACTAAAGATCTGTTACATCTCTTTTTTGAAATACAGAAATAATAATATCAAGCAACAATATCTGCCTATCCCAGCTCCCTGGGAAGGACTTGATGGGTGGATAAAGTGCCATAGCATCATAAGAAAATGGATGACCATGCATGCCATCTCTTTAGTGATATTGAACAATTATACTTGCCCCGCAGAAATGGAGGAAGAGAATTACTTCAAGTCCGACAAGCTGTCTTTGCCTCTTTATTTTTCATTTTTTTAAAGTTCAAACACTGCAGCACTCCAATACACTAAGACTAAGTTCCCCATCCTTTCCATATGTATCATTTATGTCCTTGTGGAAATGTGACTCTAGTAATGAGATTTTCTCGTTTACTTAAAGGCACTCACACCAACACTTAACTATGAATCCCCTGGAGTTCATTGTGCAGACAACAATGTAACTCTTACTTTTCTTCCATTGCAAATCTCCCACAATATTTTCCCAGGTAGAAAAGAAGCCTACAAATACAAATAGAGACAGCAATGTTAGCAGATAACAGTGTGAGCACTTAATGCAAATGTCCAGATCTAATATTCAGTTTATATACTTTTCAACAGGGGAAAAGAACTGGAAAAGAAAATTCAGGCAGTTGGCGGAATAGGTTACCTACTCTTTGTTCCAGAAGAATTGCTCAGAATCCCCAAAGTATTGAATAAATAGATTGCCAGATTCTGAGGGTTATTGAGCATCAAGTGACGTAATTTGATATAGCCATCATCTACGCACACAAAGGCCTGTGTGCTACAGACAGAAGCTGAACCAAACATTCATAGCTCTGAAGGTAGGTTCCACTATTAAAATTGCAGGCTTAGAACTAAAGAAAAAAACTTTGTCAAGATGGTGATTTATGCTTGTAAAATACACGTCCCAAAATACCTTGCAGCATTTCTCAACCTTGGCAACCTTAAAATGTGTGGACTTCAATTTCCAGAATTCCTCAGCCAGTCAAGTCCAAATATCTTAAAGTAGCCAAGTTGAGAAATACTAATCCCCTGTATTGGTCTTCCCCAGCCTGGATACCTTGCACCTGTGTAGATTCCTGCTCTCAGAGGTCTTAACAACAGACATCTTGACTGGAATTCTGGGAGTTGAAGTCCACACAGATGAAGGACATTCAAGATGCAAAAGATTACAGTAATGTTTCATCGCAAAGTGCTACAGGGTTTTCCTCTACAATGCATTGCTCCACAAAGGAAAGGAAAGCTAAAAATGTATGCCCTTTCCAAAAGCTGGAAAATCATTGCCATTATCATTTTGTGAAAGTTCAAATATTTTAATTTAAATAGTGTAATCTGGGCTGCCAAAATCTAGGTAGCCAGTAAAGTTTGTGTTTTCCTGTATGCTGCACTGCAGAGGTCTTCCCATAAACTACACCCCAGGTATAATTGTTGGAAAACTGCCAGTTAGGGTGGAAGGAGAGGTCAAGAGAGGGCCTAGCTTGGAGTTGCTGTGCAGCCACAAGAAGCATAAGCTTGATCTCCCCCATGAAACTTTATCTGGTCATTCCCAGGGGAAGGCAAGCAGACAATAAAGTTACTGACTTTAGACATCCATGAGTGCTCTGGTTGCTTGTGCCTGACAAGAATAAGCTTAAAATGATGTCATTTATTTATTTGATCATTTAGATCAGGGCTTTTCAACCAGTGGTACGAGTATCACCTGTGGTACATTGGCACCTGGCAGGTGGTAGGCGACCATCCTAGAAAAGTGGTAGCGGGGAGGGGAATGAGCTGAACCGGTGGCAGCACTGCACAAGCCTGAGCAAGAGATGGCTGGAGCTGCAGGGCTGTCAGGGCTCAGTGGAAGTGCCAGGATCAGTGCCAGACTCCAGCTGGAGCTCGGCACTGATCCTGGTGCTTCTGCTGAGCCCAGAAGTGCCAATCAGCTGGAATGTTGCAGCATCTCCAGGGTCTTGTGATTTACATTCAGATGCTTGGCAACTGATTCATATTTATGATGGTCCCAGTGTCATGTGAAGTGACCAAAATCTGCTACAATCACCCAGCAGATGGATGGAATAAAAACGAAAACACCGCCCGCCCCACCTCCGTTGCCAATCCTCAACAGAAATGCTCACAACAATGAAAACCTCGGACAGGAGGAAGAGCGCGGCCAGGCGGGCAGGCAGGTGTCTTGCTCGGCTGTGGCTTGGGGGGCACTTTTTTCAGTGCTATTGTAAGTTCAAACAGTCATTAAGTGAACTGTTGTAAGTCGAGGACTACCTGTACTTTATCACTTTTTTCTTTCTTTTTTTTTTTTTTGGTCATCAAGTTTTTGACACCTTGCTAGGCGACTGGTGGTACTCGGATATTGCCATATCCTAAAAGTGGTACCATGGATGAAAAGGTTGAAAAGCCCTGATTTAGACAGCAGAGAGGTCAAGGATGAGATAAGAAAAGCAAGAGACATCGAAATTTCATATGTTAAACAGAACAATAGTGATAACATTAAAGTTATGCAGTAACTTATTAAATTACTGTGCTTGGACCTACTGTATCACCAGTATGTGAATAATACTAACTTGAAAGCCTTGTTTATGGGTCAATTAAATTTAACAATACTAAGTCACAACATTTAACCTTTTACGCTAGTGATGACCAAAAGCACAGCCAAGATGAATTAAAATGAAGGAGCATAAATAAATTCAACAGGTGTTTTTAAAATCAATCTTAAAAAGTTTAAGAAGGAAGAGGTCAGGGGCCTTACCAAATCTTTTACACACGTAATAACATTCCAGCAGACTTACAAAGTTATTTTTATTGCCACCACAACCTCCATAGATGAAAGTCTTACACATATTGTTCTTGTAATCGTAATAAAAATTCTCAAAGTCTGCATTACATTTTCCCTTTTTCGGTGGTAGTTTGCATTTTCGAGGTATAAATACTGGGAAGAAATAAAGGGGGAAAAGGAAAAAAAGTTGACTTATGAAAAATGAAGATAGAAATTTTGAGTTATATCTGAAGTGCTTTAAGCTTACTTTTGAAAGAGATAAAAACACAATTATTTAAAAGGATGTTTCTGGATTTCCTACAAAACAGTAGATCTTCTCTGAATTCATGAATAACTGGCTGAGTTCTAGCACAATATGCTTCATTGATTCCTGAATAAACCCATGGGGGGATGGGATGGTCCCTGAACTATAAACTCACAAAATGCCTGGATTCACATAACATATGAAACCACAAAAACTAACCACTAGGTCAGGGGTAGGCAACCTTGGCTCTTTTATAACTCGTGGACTTCAACTCCCAGAATTCCTGAGCCAGCCATGCTCAGTTGAAGTCCACGAGTCATAAAAGAACCAAGGTTGCCTACCCCTGCAGTAGGTTTTGCTTGTTGCTAAGCAGATTTCTGTGAAACACTTTATTGTAGTTCACTAGACCATATTCATGAACTATGTTATCTGCATTCACACAACACACAATCCCATCAACTAACCACCCTAATATTCAAAATATTAGGCCACGATGTAATAAACAAGTTTGTGGCTGAGTACAACTCTCTCAAAGTGTTCTGCAACACCTTCCCTCAGCACATTAACCATAGTTATGGTTTAGACCAGTGGTTCTCATCTTGTGGTACTTAGACCCTGGGGGTCGGCAATGTCATCCCAGGGGGTCCGCAAAGGCTTATGAAGAAATATTATCATTTAAATCTTGAGTTAATTCTTGGTGGTCCGTGGCCACAAAAGGTATTTAAAAGGCGTCCGTGGTGAAGAAAAGTTGAAAACCACTGGTTAGACTCTTCCTAATCCACTTAGATCAGTGATTCTCAACCTTTTTAATGCCGCGATCCCCAACCGGTCATAAGTCAAGGACTACTCAACTGGTTGTAAGTCGAAGACTACTCAACTGGTACAGCACCGTTTGCAGAATGGGACTTTTGGCGGACTCAGCAGGGCAGAGACAGCCTGGACAATTCCTATTGGCTTTTGAAAGCCAATAGAATTAGACTCTATTCAAGAGAGTCTCTTCTATTGGCTTTCAAAAGCCAATAGAATAAAAGGGAGTAGCACAGCTAAGGAAAAGGGGGAAAAAATGGTGGACTGCCTTGTTTGGCGACCCCCATGAAATGGTCGTTCGACCCCAAATGGGGTCCCGACCCACAGGTGGAGAACCACTGCCTTAGATATTTATAAAACTTTCTATTATTTCACATGAAATGGCAATCCAGCCATTATGACTTATTCAACAAATCCAGAATAAGGGAATTGTGAGAACTCAGTGTGGAAAAAAAAATAATACAGTTCTGGAGTTCCCCAAAGCAAGAAATGAAGGAAGAAACTATCGAAGAATTGTGCAAGATTAGCGGAACCTGAAGTCCTTTGCAAAATTTATAAAATTGATATAATTATAAAAGTTATAGCATGGATCATTTCAGGAAATGGCTGAAAGGAAGCACTTTGCCTATAAACCGTACCTTTCTGCATGCAGCCAGGTATGTTAAGTTCCAGGAGAATGATAAGACCTATGGTGCCCCAGTTCTGCATGGCAAGTGCCCCAGAAGACTGCTTGATTACAAGTATGTCCTTATATATTGCATCTAAGAAAGGAACCAATTCATTTTCAATAGTCAGAGACACTTTGAACCTGTTCTATTTTAGTTTATGGCATCTTGTATTTAAACTGCTTTTCAGTTAAGGGTGATTGCCTTTTAATTCAGTACACCATGGAACTGTTAAGTCAACCAGGTGGCCTTCTTACTACCAGGTTTCCAGCCCCCACCAATGAACCAAAAACATCCTGTTCTTTCAAAAGATGATGCTATTCCTCAATAAAAGTCATACCCACACTCTCTGGGTCACAGTGTTCCTCAACTTCCTCTATGTTGTATGTGCAGAAACAATTCTGCATATCTTTGTCTTCTTTTTTTGTATAAATTTTATTAGTTTTTATAGGGTTAGGAATAAGATGGTGTTGGAATTGGGGTTGGGATTTGGGTTAAGGTTAGGATTAGGGTTGGGGTTGGGTTTTTTCCAAATAACATTCTCAATATTTAGCAAACAGCATAATGTCTGGGTTCATGTGTTTAACAAACAACGATAGATAATAGTTAATTATCATAAATAATATGTTAATTAATCATTCGATAGTCTTCTTCTTGCTAGTATATATTCAAAGTTACATATCACCTTCCTTTCTCTCTAACTCATTTTTCTAGCCATTGATAGAAATTATCCCATGTTCTAAAATACACTGAGTCATCTTTCTCTTTTATCTTTAAAGTCAATCTGTCCATTTCTGCATACTCTAAATTTTTCTTAATTAGTACTTCTTCACTGGTAAATTTTCATTTTTCCAATGTTGGGCCAATAGAATTCTTGCTGCAGTTAGTATATGTAGAATTAAATATATGCGATCTTTCTCATAATTTGCTCCTATTATTCCTAACAAAAATAATTCTGGCTTAAAGTCTATCTGTTTTTTAGTCATTTTCTCCAACCATAAATGTATTTTAACCCAAAATCTTTTTGCTTTAGAGCATGTCCACCAGATATGATAATAAGTACCTGGTCTTTGTTTGCATTTCCAACAGTTGTTTGAAGTATTTTGAAACATTTTTGCTAATCTCACTGGTGTCATATGCCATGTGTAGAACGTTTTATATGCCACTGCTTTAGTTAATTTAACATTTCTTTCCCATAACTTTTGCCAGTCTTCTAATTCTATATTATATCCAAAGTTCATTGCCTGTGTGATCATTGTTTCTTTTACTTGTTCTTCCTCATCTTTAAGATTAGCAGAAATCTATAGAGTTTCTTGATCAACTTTTTATTTGTTTTTAACAGTATCTTATCAAATTCTGTCTGTTCTTTATAGAATCCCATTGTTTTAGCATCTTTTGCATATCTTTGTCTTCTTGAAAGTCAAGATTCACCATTCTCCAAGATCATTTATGCTTCTGTATGAAATTCACCTTGTTGTCCATCTTTGGCAGCTGAACCAATTGATTTGGAACTCACCTACAGTAAAATAATTGCCACTAACGCTACCCTTAACGCTTTGTCTCAGCTGCCCATTAAAAGATGCCTTTAGTAACAATAATAACCATAGTAATAGCAATGAATGGTTAAGAGATGGTTGCAATCAGTATTTCCTGGAATCTGTTGGAAGCAATCTTACAAATCAGGGCTCCCCAACCCCTGGGCCTCAGCCCACAGACAGGCTGTGGCCCATTTGGAACCGGGCAGCACAAGCAGTGGGTGAACATGCAATTCCTGCAACCACCCACCACTCACGCAAATGGAGCATGCAAAGCTCCATTTGCGTGAGTGGCGGGCGCTTGCAGGAATGGTGGGCACTTCTGTGATCGATTGTGTGAGTCTCTTGCACTCACGCATAAAGCTCCATTTATGCAAAGAGCAGGCGCATGTGCTCACCACTTGCACAAATGGAATTGCACGTCCTGCTGCTCAGATGGAACCATCCCTTCTCCGCCACCGCCCCCTACCAGTCCACTAAGCCGGGAAGTTTGGGGACCGTTGTTATAAATCATGGGCAATCCACACTTAGTGGTCTTCTAACTCCATCTTGAAAGTTGGTGGTCAGGTGGAGCCTATGTCATTTCTAAGACTATTCCACCTCTTAACTGCTCTTCCTGTACAAAAATTTTCTTCGTGTTTAGCTTACTTTTCTATTTTTCAAACCCAGTGGTGCCAGGTGCCACATGTCAAATGTTGATCACTTGACTATGGGAATGCTGCAGCAGTCATAAGAGCAAGGGCAGGTCACAAGTCATTATTTTCAGCATGGTAACTTCAAATAGTCAGGGACTGTCCAATCTTGTCTTATTCTAGGGGGTGTTCATCTCCATTTCCTAGCCGAGGGAGCCAGCATTGTCTGAAGATACTTCTGTGGTCAGCTGTCCGACATGACTGTATGCCAAAATGCATAGAATGCTGTTATAATCCCATCAAAGTGGCACCTACAGGACCACCTGTATCTATTTTGTCCATGAGGTTATTATGAAAGTGTAGTCAAATAATGTATCAGAATCAAGATATACTATATTGACAGAATTCCCCAATGCTATATTAAACTAGTCACTCTGTCATTAAAAAAAACAATAAACTTAGCCTATGAGAAAATGTTCTTGATAGAAGCCTATGCTTTCTTGATAATGGTAGCAATTACTTCTAACTATGCACAAACATGCTGCTTGACAAACTTTTATAGTTTCTTGCAAATATAAACAGTAAACTAAGTGATCTGTAGATTACGCCCTCCTTCCCTTTTTGAACATTGGGACATCGTATTCTTCTATAAACTTCTGCAACTAATCATTTCTCTTAAGAGATTTCAGAAATTACAGGGTGGATCTGCAGACGCTCCATTTTAGCAAAAAGTACCTTCTGTGCTTAAATAAAGCACAACTGTCTTTCAGTTATGGACACAGTGAGACAATAAAAGCAATCAGTTTAACCTTGGTGTTGTCAAGCGTACAGCCCTTCAGCAACAAACTGAGCAATGTTTTGATAATCCATCTTAAATTTACCAAAATGATTTGGAAATGAAGCAACCCAGACAGATAGATAGCATGGAATGAAGATACTTTATTCAAAATGTATGCGTTCTCACACAACATAGATCAAACAGTCTGTACTTTGAAGAGTTCAGGAATTCTTTCTTATACTGGAAGGTATCCTAAAATGGTACAGGCAATGTTGTGAAGAAGAGAAGAGAAGAGAAGAGAAGAGAAGAAAAGAGAAGAGAAGAGAAGAGAAGAGATGTTATACATCAAGCAAAAGTAATACATCCATTATTACTATACTTATCTACATCATGGACCAGATTGGATGCAGTAATACAACCACAGGACAGGTTTAGATATCATACGCAGCCAGACAATATTTCAGAAGCTAGAAGCTCTAACTTCTGAAGGCTTTGGGAAAATATGTGACGATGCTATCAGATATACAGACATATATGCTCCTTTCTTTTATTAGGGAGTGGTAGATTTTAAAGCACATAAAAGAGACTGCTTTGGCTTCAATACCATGGCCACTTGATTGTTTTTTTTTACCTTTTTTAATCTTTGTAAGTAGGGCCTCTCTCAAATATCTGGGTACCTCTAATAACAGACAAGTACTCCTTACAACATGATTCAATCTACCGGTATCTTCAGTACTAGCCTGGAAGCATCGTCTCTAGACCGCTATTGAAAGCAGCAAGATAGTTTGGGGAAGCTACCGTAGGATGGCCTTACCCTTCTACACCTCTCTTCCCCTCTGTACTTGGACAGCATGGACAATCCACTGCCATAATTGATGTTCTGCCAAGTATTGTAGATCCTACCTTTAACTTTTTCTAAGCATGTTTTTTTTTTCAGTCCCCAATCCCACCAAAGTATTTTGAACTCCATATAATGTTCTTCATTCCAGCCAACTTTAGAACACGGAAAGTCGTTCATACCCCCTAACCACAGCACAAACCTAACTTGTCAATGGTTGGTGTTGCCTTTGTCCCGTGCCCATCCCATGACGGAGGAAAAGTCATCCTTAGCTGGCTTTCTGGTTTAAAGGCGTTTCCTCTCTTCTCGTGGTACCCATTTTGCCATCAACACGAGGGAGGGAACTTCAGGGACAATGTGTTTGATAAAGTGATCGGGCATTTGGAACTGCAAGCTCTTTTTGTACTTTAGGCTGCTATGGGCTAATCCTTCCCCCCCCACCCCATGACTGAAAGACCATTTTTCCCTGGGGCCATTCAATTTTGAGCAGGGGGAGGCTTTGCTTTTTTTTCATCAGGGCTTCAAATCGTTGTCAAACCTATTTGGAAGCTTACTTCAATGCATGAACTACACTAAGACGCTAATTACACTAGGACAGAAGCGATGGTGTGAGGCTGGTGGGTAAATCTGTAAAAATTTGGAACATACCAAACACATCACATTCCTTAACACATTCATAATAAGTTGTAAATCTGTTTCCATTGCCTCCGCAGCCTCTGTAAAAAAACTCTCTGCACCGATGGAGTATAGAATCGTAATAAAATCGAATAACTTTATTTCTGCACCATCCTTTTTGGGGCGGTAATTTGCATTTCTTTGATGTAACTGAAAGATAAGAAAATAGGGGGAAGGTCAACTCCTCCCCATGATTCTCCAATATGTCATCTGGATTCTTTTCTTGTTACGTTTATGCTATATGTTTTTATGCCCTCCAGCGTTAAAACATCATCTAAACAGAAACTGTAAATTGGGGGCCAGATAAAGAAGCTGATAGAAATAGGCAGCAGGAGACGTCCATCCACCTATTATTTCAGTCCTACCCACTTTTAGTGCATTCCAACCAACTTGAAAAACAAAAGTTTACTCATCCCTTCTGTTCTTGTTGCCATCAGCCGGTATCTTGTGATGTGATTCTCTTGGGTACAGGCACATACACATGCGTTTATTGTGAATCCCTGTAATATATTGTGGAGACAACAGCATACGTACATTTCTTCCAATCAATATTTCCAGTTATGTTTGCCATGGGTAACGCAAGATCTAAGAATAGGAGACAACTGAGTGAATGTTAGATGCAAATATCCGGCTTGGGAACAATCTATTGGTAGTCCTTGACTTACAACAGTTCATTTGGTGACCGTTCAAAGTTACAAGGGCACCGAAAAAAGTGACTTATGCCCGTTTCTCACACTTACGACTGTGGCAGCATCCCCATGGTCACGTGATCAAAATTCAGATGCTTAGCAACTGACTCAGTGTCCGGGGGGGGGGTCAGGGGTCATGTGATCCCCTTTTGCGACCTTCTGACAAGCAAAGTCAATCGGGAATCCAGATTCACTTAAGAACCGCGTTAAGAAGGGTCGTAAAATGAGGTAGACTCACTTAACAAATGTTTCCCTTAGCAACATAAATTTTGGGCTCCGTTTTGGTCATAACTCAAGGACTACCTGTATTTTATATCATTTTCAATAAGGATCAAACAGGGAAACATTAATCAGCCCAAATAAGCGGCCTAAACTTTCATTCAGGAAAAATTCCTCGTTAGAATAATGTTGAATAAAAAGGTTCCTGTATCGTACAGGGCAGGAGTGGGGACCTTGGTTCTTTTACGACTTGTGGACTTCCAAATCCCAGATATTATTATTATTGTTATTGTTATTATTATTATTATTGGTGTTGTTGCTGTTGTTCAAACGTTTGCCAGTCTTGGCAGTAGGAAAGCTCCTTACCAAATTTTTTACACTTGTGAAGACACTGCTTTAGAGTGGCAAAGTTATTTTTATTGCCACCACAACCTCCATAAATGAAGTTCAGGCATGTTCTTTTGTTGGGATCGTAGTAAACCCTTTCCAATGTTTTTCCGCAGCTTCCTCTCTTTGGTGGTAATTTGCATTTCCTCGGTAGCTGTCCTGGAAGGTATTTGAAAATAGAAGAACCAAGTTATTGCAGAGACTTTAATCTTAGCAGACCATGAACTGAAGATGTACTTTATGCCCTTTAAACTTAATTTTGAAAAGAGAAACAAAATTATTTGATGTCTTGTTTGTGAAATGGCAGCAAAATAGCTGACCTACACTCCATGTGTTAGCGGTTAGCAAAAGGCAGGTTTCATTCAGTTCTTGAATTTATTTATTTAGCTTTTTCATGGAACTGTAAACTTACCAACTTACCGGTTTTACAAAATGCACTAAGCTACATAACTACACAACTATAATACTAAAATAGCACTGAATAAGTGATAAAAGAGATATTTAGTTCATCACTGACCTGCTTAAACATGGAAGAGAGCTTCTCACCCGCCTTCTCTTGACTTCCGAAGAACATTCTCAATGTCCCGAAATGAGCAATAAATGAAACATAAAACAAAATCACTGCACAACGTTAGCTTTAATTCTTATTCCTCTGCAACTCTTCCCTTTTGCAGCTGTTGCCTAACATCCAAGATACAGAAGAGGTTGCACCGGGGATGACAAGGTGGCTAAGAGGGAGAGCGTTACCTGAAAATCTTACCTTTCTTTAGGCAGCCAGTTGTGACAAATTGTAGGATCACCAGAATGCAGATGGGCCCCCAAACCTGCATGGCAATTTCCCCCCTTCAAGTATTTATTTCTAAGTGAACCCACTTTATGTCAGAGCTTAAGGGAGAGGAAAACCAGCCACTTGGAGAGAGTTGATGAGGTTTTGATTGTTCTTTTGTGAGCCTAGTCTGCTTTAGCTGAAGTTCTCTTCCTGTATTGGAATAAAATGTGATTGCTTTTCAGGCAGGGACACGGTGAAATCATATAGTTAACCTTGGGTAGTCAAGTATTCACCTCTTGAGCATACCATTTGATTGATTGATTTGATTTGATTTATATGCCACCCATCTCATCCTATAAAACAATTAGAGCAGAGGTCCCCAACCTTTTGGGCACCAGGAACCAGTTCCGTGGAGAAAGGTTTTTCCATGGACCGGAGAGTGCGTGGTTTTGTGTTCTGCCTGCATTCCACGGATGGGGCTTTGCTTGTTTGTGCAGACTGGTTGCTGGCATGCTGTGGCCCAGTACTGGTCCACGGACCCGGGGTTGGGGATCTCTGAATTAGAGGCTTCCCTAGTAAGAGGCAGGCAGAATTTTGGGATCCTTTGGGAATTTTGAAGAACAATAGAGAGATGCTATCACAAAATAGTGGTCATGGAGGGGTCTGGCCAGTTGCAGAACCTTCTGATGAAAAATGGCTCAGGTTATTTTGCCCATCTTGCTTTGGTTCCCCCAATGAGTAGATAATCGGCTCAGCCAAAGCAGAATATCCAGATTCAGCCACAGTTTTGTTCCATAGAGCATCAACCCTGTGAACTGTCAAGTTTCCTCTTTCCGCTATGTGTTCAAAATGGACAGTGATTAATATTTATATGTGTATGTATGTATGTATGTATGTATGTATGTATGTATGTATGGGATAGGTGTATTTGTGTGTTATATATGGGTATGTGTAGAGAAATACCTGCTTTTGAGAGCAAGCAACAGAATTTCATTTTTAATGTGGGCCAGTGTGCTCATAGTAGTAAAAAATGACAAAAAAGGTTATCTTATCTTTGTGTGGTCTTTTTCCTGCAGATGCATCTGAATCAAGAAGTTAGTTGTCTGTCCTCACTGTTTTTACTTACATTTGAATGCCAATGAGACCTCTCTGGAATTCACAGGTAGTCTTGGACATGAAACTCTGCATCACTTTTTTTTAAAATGCAAATAATCTTAAAAATAAAAATGAGGCAGGGAGATTGCTTATGAATGCTGTTTTCGTACAGCCCATCTCTAGAAAGCAAATAAAAGTGGTTTACCTGGATATATATTAAGAACAGGTTTGGCAGCACTTACTCTAACATATTTTATTAAAAGGCATAACCTTTTCAGAGCTGTAGATCATGAATCAGCCTTGAACATTAACATTAGCCCAGCCCCCAAACCTGAATTAGTATTTGCTAAGGATGGATGCAATCCCCAAACATCTGGAGCACCACTTGAACACCCTCATCTGGAGGCACACACATCATCTTGCCAGATGCAATGGATGCACATTCTAACACCTTCAACTAGCACAACCATGATAATCAAGTGCATTTGAAGCATTCTAGGGAAGAGAAATAACATGGGCAATCTTTGTGCTGCCCATCAAGATCATAAACTCCACCTATAAGTATGCATCATGCTAAAACATAAATAAAAGACATCTATAGCCCGCTAAAACACATATCACACTAAAACCTAAGTAAGGCATAATGTTGAGAGTCAGATATAATGCTATGCTGCAAACCACGATGTACAACTGTTTCTCAACTTCAGCAACTTTAAGATAGGGGGACTTCAACTCCCAGAATTCCCTAGCCAGCACTGCTGGGGAATTCTGAGGAATTTCTGGGCTGGGGAATTCTGGGCGTTGAAGTCCACCCATCTTAAAGTTGCTGAAACCCTGGTCCACAATAACAAGAGCTTATCTCATATACACGATATATATACTAGCACGAGAAAACATGGTTGCAATGCTAAACGTTACAGCTTAGCAGAAGAAAGAATGACTTCTGAGCAACCTTTCCGATTTTCCAATTTAATTGTAAGGAGAGGGAGACGGAGGGGGGAAAGGAGAAGGAAGAGGAAGAGGAAGAGGAGGAGGAAGGAGGAGGAGGAGGAGGAGGAGGAGGAGGAGGAGGAGGAGGAGAAGAAGAAGAAGAAGAAGAAGAAGAAGAAGAAGAAGAAGAAGAAGAAGAAGAAGAAGAAGAAGAATAAGAAGAATAAGAAGAAGAAGAAGAAGAATAAGAAGAAGAAGAAGAAGAAGAAGAAGAAGAAGAAGAAGAAGAAGAAGAAGAAGAAGAATTATTACGAAACCTGGAATCTCTAAATCCTCACTTTCTCCTCTCTAACTCTCTATAGTTTGGTATCCATGGAAGCGAGGAAAGAGAATACATGGGAAGGAAGAGAGAGAGAGAGAGAGAGAGAGAGAGAGAGGGGGGGGGCGAGATCGAGCGGGAGACGATCTAGGAACCAACTTATTGCAGTGGACGGAAGGAGATGCCGTTCCTTCCGGCGCCGGCTATTCTCCTTTCCCGCGTTGAGGTAAGGCGGTTTGGCGCCGGCTGCGCGCGGAGGCGTTGACTGGGCAGGAGGCCGGGACCCTGGACCGGGCTGGGGAGGGTGGGCGAGGGCAGGAGAGTCGGGGGGCTGTGTCTCGGCCCTCCTGCCCGCCTGCTGGGCGCCCCGGCTGTGGCTGAATGGCCGCCCTCGCCCCTCCACCTGCCTGGAAGGGAGAACAGCTGCTCCCGAGTTTCCCCTCAGTGCAGTCGGCTGTGTGTGTGGTGGGGGGGGGAAGAGGGGGCGGAAGGGGCAAAAGAGCCTTTTTCGTTTATTTATTCTCTCCCCCTCCCCCCATCGTTTCCCCCACTTTGGCTCCCGGGAACACTCCAGGACTGGAAAACGGTTGACTAAGCTGTAAACCATGGCTTTCAACCCCCCCCCCCGCAATATGAAGATTTCCCCACGATTCCGAACCCAAAGTGAAAGGAATCCCTTTATGGTTTAGCACAGGGACGGGGCAATTCATTCTCCCAAAGGGCCGCTCGAGGAACTGGGGCTGTTGTGGAGGGCTGAACTGAATTCTGTTCGGTTTTAACCCGTTTTATTTATATATATATGTATATGTATATGTATGTATATATATATATGTATATATGTATGTGTATATGTGTGTATATATATATGTATATATATATATATGTATATATGTATGTATGTATATGTATGTATGTATGTATGTATGTATGTATATATGTATAAATATACAGCTGACAAAGTGAGAGAGAGCCTGTGGCTTAGAGGTTATAACAACTGCCTAACATGCATCTAGCCCAGGTTCGAATCTCAGAAGAGTAAGTCTGGCTGAAGAGAATTAAAGGAACTCGAAATAGCTATACCAGTTCTCTCTTTATTCTTTGTTAGCAACCTAAAAATGTAAATAAATATATGTATATTTTCTGAGGTTTTCGCGGGTGTTTGTATGTAGGTCTTTGGTTATTTGGGGTTTCTCCCACGTAAAATTGGAAGTGTCTTGGTGACGTTTTGACGAAGTCCCATTCGTTATCTTCAGGCTGGTGCTCCTAGAAGCACAAAGCCGAAAACACCGGCCTGAAGATGACGAATGGGACTTCGTCGAAACGTCGCCAAGACACTTCCAATTTTACGCGGGAGAAAACCCGAATAACCAAAGACCTACAAATATATGTATGTATACAGTGTATGTATGTATGTATGTGTATGTATGTATATGTATGTCTAAAATAGTCTTAAAAATATGAGTCTTGGATATATTCATATTCAAAATCAGAAGACATAGATCACCAAAACTAAAAATTTATTTAAAACTTAATTTTAAATAAATTTTTAGTCTTGGTGATCTATGTCTTCTGATTTTGAATACATGTATGTATATGTATGTATGTGTATATAATATATATGTGTGTGTGTGTATATTTTAAAATCCTAGTAAATTATATGGTTTTGATTAGCTGCTACTGGTAAAAATACATGTTACGTCTTGTTTACATTTGATTTCTAATCACAGACCAGACAAGGACGGCCAAAGGGCCACCAGATGTGACTCCTCAAATGGCCGTATCTGTTTTAGCACAATCTGTGAATGGAGTGTAATCTGACTGATTTCTCTTAATAATAGGACATGTTGGGATATTTTCTTGGGATGTAAGTAGAGAGGACAGGTGACAACTCTGGCTCAAAAGGGTCATTGCAGAAAATGGTAGATTAGGGAAAAACAAGACAATGTTTTGATTATTGGTCCTGAAAATGCAGAAGGCATCCTATGATGGAGTTAAAAAACAGCAACAAAAAGAAACCCCTACAGAGTTAACACATACACTATGTCAATTTGGGTGTGTTTGCGGTGGTGTGTGTGAA